CTGGATCGCGAACTCGTTCGAATAAACATAGGTTTACACGTTTGTACCAAATTTCATCAAAATCGGATCATTTTTGCTCGAGTTATCGCGCTAACGGACACACACATATATATATATATATATATATATATATATATATATATATAAATATATATATAAATATATATATAAATTTAAATATAAATATATATATATATATATATATATATATATATATGAATTTGAACGGATGGTGTTTTTGGCCTCTAGGGACCTCAAAATGAAAAATTAGATCGGTCTCGGGTCCAGGTCTTACCATGAGTACTACGGTAATAGCTTATTCCCTATATGGGAAATTCGCTAAAACGACACTTTTATGTATTTTAAATAAGAACTGTTTATTAACACTTGAAATGAATTTGATATGAGTGGACTGTAATATGAATTCTAAATGCTATTATTACTAATTCGAACTATGATATAATACGTGGAGGGGTCTGCCTCACATGTCCGATAAAGTCAATGCTATGCGAGAGCAATACTCGACCGACACGACAATGAATACAGATCGATCCCACAGACACGGTCCTGGATAACAATTCTAAAGACAGATAGAAAGGGTTCGTTTATGTGACCATGTTTGTTCCCTACGCAGAAGGACGGTCTCGACTGCTTTGCGACTGTTGCCTTAGCAGAACGAATGGGAGGTTGTTGCGATCGTAAACAACTCTAAATGTTTGACAATATTTGAAATTTAGATAAAGATAACTATCTTCCAGCAACATAAATATAAAGATACCCAATAGATGAAATAAAATTATTCTCTCCAACATTAATTTGGAATAAAATACGCTCATAGGCGGCGTCCCAATTCCCATCTTATGAATGTGAATATACAGTTTAATGTGTAGTGAAATAAAGGTTCAATCGTTAGGTATGCTCGGAACATACCTTACGTCGACAGTTCAACAAGTGGTTGTGAAACTCACTACGGCTACAGTACATGTTTCGCCTATTCAGGCGTAGTCAGGTGATCTTTCTTTACAAGAATGTTTCGTCCAAATAAGATTCGTCATGACAGTCAAATAAATATACACAATACATGTATTTGACTGTAATCATACAGTTTCACCACCACTTGTTGAACTATTGAGTAATGACATGTAGCCTACCTATAATTAATAGTCTAATTAAATAGTTCAGGGGCTACACAATGCATTTGTATGTTTAGAAATCGGAAAATATATTCATCCCGGCAAAAACCAATTTTACCTATTACATCACCTTGGGAATGAATTAAAACGTTAGCACATTGTTACCTATATCACTAAAGAGATAGGCCTAATTTAAGTGTATTTGGTGAAATGGATCCTAGAGTTATCTTTTTCAAATGATTACATTCCATATATATATGGACGCGTCGAAAGAATGAAACTTCGGCAATAGTGTTGAGAATGCGTTTAATGAGCAATTTTGTCTCCTCACTTTATTTTCTTTTGATATATTTTACACAATATTTTACTTAGCAATTTCTTATGAATGTGACACCTAAACCAGTGAAACTCACAATAAAATATCCATTGAGTTTCGATCAATTTATCCAGCTATTTGTGAGAGTAAACACGGCAAGTTGGCACCGGGTTGGATAGCACTATTTTGTCTGGGCCGGGGAAGGGGCAGTGGAGGTGTGAAAAGTCACATACTGTTTCGAGCGAGCGACACGAACGTGGGAGTCTATTTTGGGATTGAAGAGATATTGGGATCGGTCTAACACAGCGAGGTATCGATATCATCTGTTATCAGTGTTCCATTGTTGTGCTTTTGCTTCCTCTCCATTCTGATCAGCTGACGGTAAATTATTGTTCTTAACCTAAAAAAAAAATGTTAAGAGTTTAAAATTGGCTTTTGGTTTTTGAATCTGTTTAAAAGTTTTCTTTGTATATCAAATGTATGATTATTTTTAAATTTGTTTATTTAAGTCCATGTTATTGATTGTACAATAATGGAATCTATTTTTAAATGCACATAGGTAGTGAAATAAGTTTTACTTGTTGTCTTCATCAAATCATCTTGGATTTTAATTTGACTCTAAAAATATATGTTTACAGCCTTCAAAAGGTCCACAAGTACTGTAGTGAAATGTCCTAAATTGTGTGAATGGGGTCAAATGTAGTTTGATCAAGTTAGTTAACAGTAAATGCTTTCTAAAACAAATGTACTTAGATTATACTAGTTTTGAACCTTTACACGTTTTAGCATATTGATTTTACCATACCTATACCACTTAATGCATAGAATCACTTAAAAGTCCTTTCATCTGTAGTTATGATAAGCTGTAATTTTTAATTGTGGGGAATCAATATAAACAAGCATATTGAAGGTAGCTTAGATTCATTGAACAACAAAATAGTATTGTTTGTGGGTTTAACGAGTAGCCTACTTAAGTTTGCTACTACAAAGAAGGTAATATAGTGTTTTTAGTTCAATTTTAAGAGTTTAGGATGAAATTAATCGATTTGCCAAATGTAATTAACGTATATCCATAAGTAAGCATAACTAACTTAGTTAACTTACTCTCCATAAGAATAACATGGGTATTTTAATTTTAAAGTTTTTCTGGATTTCCTTCGTATCTAACCATTTGGCACACAAATAATGCGCTTCATTAAACCAAAGTTTATGTTTTATAAGCTCTACATAGATGTTTAGAAAGAAATTGTGAAATTTTATGTAAAGCGACCCCTGGTCTAGGTTTTACCACGACACCTACGGTAGTAGGTTATTCCTACATGGGAAATTTGTTAGCCAAGATGGTACTACAAGGTACTACAAAAATTCTAATAAGATTTAACATTTAAGCTTTAGAATTTCAAGAAACTTATTATTTTCCTCAAAAGATGTGACCAACTGGTATTTATTTATTTATTCATATCAACGGATACACCATTTACAAAATCTTATGGTATTGTATGCTAAATTTTTAACCTACAATATAAATCTATCTAATGACTCTTTTGACTGATTCAGATGATTTCTGCTGGCATGTAGATGTAGTTGTGATGAAAGTACAAAATAAGTTAGTGTTTTTGGCCAACAATTGTCTCCCCAGCCTACAAACTGTGTCCCCATTAAACTCCCTGGTTGCCAAAGCCGCTGTGAGTCTGCCAAAGTGATAAACTGAAAATATGTGTTGTCTGTCTCATTGTTAGGTTGCGTAACTAGACTGTCCTGTGACCACTGCTCGAGTCATTCCAACTTACCTGATTCAAAAATTTGTTAAATCAATTTTGCCGCAATCGTGGCCCCTGTATGATGTATTTCATGACAGATTAATGTGGGTGTTATATGCATTTTATTGCAAAGTCGATAATCCAGTGGTTGCTAAATAATTGCAAATTAATACGTTTTGCAAAGCAGTATACAAACACATTACATTTATTTTATTACCTCAGATAAATGTGTTTCTAATTCTGGAAATTGCATATTTGGAATCTGGTGAATAGGTTGCTTTCAGCTGCATGAGATTTTGTTGAACAAAATTATCTTTATAACCCTAGAGTAATCTAATAATATTGCCTTTTTCTTAAATACGTATAACTTTTTTAACACAAAAATGAATCATTAAGTTCCAAAGTGCTAAGGTCATCTACAAGAACTTTATACCTCCCAAGAAACGAGCTAGATGTCCACCAAAAGTGTTCATTTGTTAAACTAGTTTGAATATTACTGTTAATTTGCCGTAAATAGTTATGACCTTTGTAGACAAATACTATATCAAATACTGTATTGTACTGTACTGAAGTAACAAACAATACTAGAGTAGGTTTGGTGGAATGAAAGCACAAGTGGACAGTAGGAGGGATGGTCTAAAAGTAGTTCTGGCAGCTTCATCCTCTGTCTCTGGCATTTGGTCAGCAGAAGGCTGTGTCACAAATATCATCTAAATAGTTGAGTTGATATATTTCATTGAAAATGTGATGGGAGGTCAAATAGAAAGAGCAAAGTTAAAGTTAAACAAGTAAAAAAATTTTAATTTTTGGTTCTTAACTCAATATTTGAAGTCAAAATTTTGCTTGTTTTGTCGGTTTTAAATTTAATAGTGAATTTTTGTTGTAGATTTAGAATTATTAGAACCTACAAATGAAACGCTTTTTGCAAATATGTGAGTGCTAGAAAAATAGCTAGTTAAAGAGTCTAATACTTTACTTTCTAATCGGTAACCTGATAATAACATGTTTTTCTTAAATGATGAATACATTTCTTTTAGTTTTCAATGATAAATTTAACTACAGTGGAAGTACCGTAATACTGAACTCATTGCACTGAAATTTCTGATTTTAAAACAATTTGAACGTTTTAATAACCTTTCCTTCATTCTAATTGTTGCTAAACTCTTTTCTCTAATTCCCTTATAAAACGTTACCAAAAGTAATGTTTTACAACCACTATTTGAGATTTATAATTCGTTTTCAGAAAATAACTTTCTTTGACTGTATATGGAACTATTAAAGTTTAATAAGGCATTATTTAATTGTGTAGAAGTGTAACAATGTGTCTAATGGTATAAATTTTGTCCATCTTCACTTGTTAACTAAATTCTTTTAATTGATAAGGTTACTTTGTAGTATTTAATTTAAATACCCCAACAAGTATGTAAGAGTTTTTCTTTTCTAAATTAAGATATCTGCTGGAAAGTTAATCTGAAATCAAATTATTTAACTAAAGAACTTCAATAAGAAACTAGTTTACCTACGCAATTGTAACAAATCATTAAGTCTAAGGAAAACCAAGTTTTTTCTTCTGGATTCTTTCCTGAAAGAAAGGACCATGAGGCATAGGTTGGCCTCAGAATTGCAAAGCATTTTTCATTTCACTTCAAGTTTCATATTATTTACAACAGGAATTTCATGTTTGTTTTGTTTAAATGTCATGTATTATTTTGAATTGTTCATCTAAGTTTTACAAATATGTCAGTGTAATTTTTCATAACCAACTGAATATATTTAAACTTGGTTGTTCAGGATAGTACAAACCCCTTGCAATTCCAATCGGTGGAAATTCCAAGATGACAGCGGGTTCGTATGGTGGCAATCATTGTTCCCCGTATCTAGTTATATTTGTTACTCTTTGTGTTGTACAGGGTGTCCCCATAAACCTTTTTTGTTAAAAAACGTCAACTAATAAATGTAAAAAGTAGTTTGTCAAAAGTAGTTAGTGTAGAATATAACATGTTTTCCATTTGGTTTCTTGGCTCCAGAAGAAAACCAGCATGACTTACATAAGTCTGCAAAATCAATCCACTAGGTATCAAAAGAGAATTACTTAAGCAGGCTGAAATAAATTGACAGCAAACCTTTTATTAAATTACTTTACAATGTAATTACATAAAGCTACTCAAGCAAAAAACACTGAGCAATGATGTCTCGTTTCTGAAATTTCCTGTTTTTTGTATTTTTTAAATTTCTTCTCCGGCTGTTCATACTTTGGGAAAATTCAGCTTTTTCTTTCTCCTTCCATTTAGCTTTGATTGTTTCTGAGTTTTCGTCTACAATTTTCTACGTTTTTTGCCAGTTTTAGCTAGGTGTAAAGATGATGTGGCCATGGCCATGGTCAGGTTTTGATAAATCATAGCGTTGTTTTCATTATACTTATTATTATTTCTAAGCCTCCACCTGTGATGCAACAGTGCAGTTGAACAGGGTGGATCATTGTGGCTGAAATGCCATCTCTGGTGTATGAAGGCACTCCCTTTAAGTATTGCAAATAGCGTTTCCGAGATGAAATTGCCTGGACTGATAGGTTTTTAGTGTATGAGAGTCCCACACACCAGGGTAAAAAACAACTTTAGACCCTGATGGTGCATAAAGCATTAAATAATAAACATAATAATAATACACATAATAATAATAATAAAAATAAAGTGTGAAAATAATATAATAAACAATAACAAGTAACATAGTCTACTGTTGTAATAATCATAGGAATTCATAGTGCACAACACAATAAAACAATTAATGTACTAAATTTGATATTGTTCCTAAACAATTTTATTTGTGTAAGGTTTTTAATAATTTTTAACAATAATAGGTTGATACAGGCCCCTTCTTTGTCAGTATAGCCTGGGCCCAGATGTTAGTCTGGGTGGTATTTTTGTTGTCAAGTACAGAAGCCCTCTTGGCAACTTATCATTGGCTGTTTCTTGTCTTCTCAGCTTCACTTCATAAAATTCAGATCGTTGTGTACCTATGTGCAGTTTTCATGTGTTCCAGAAATGTAAATAAATATGTTTTTATTTGAGCATGCTAAGTGATTACAAAATTTTGAATAGTGGTGTTACTTTTTAAATTGATTTGTTTGAAGTATGATTATTTCTTGAGAATTCCTACATGTATATTTGGTATGTTTTTAAAATTTGGATACTCACTTTGTTTGTATTTTTATTGTCTGTATTTTGATGGTATATTTTAAAGGGTAGTTCTGTAAATAAACTGTAAACTGTTTCAATCATGCAGTACACATATATGTTATAGTCAGTTTATATTTTCTAAGCAGCTGTTTGCATTTAAAACTGATAAAGAATTGAATATTAATTAAAAAAAAGTTTATATACAATTATTAGGTTATTTGCAAGTATGGATGTTCCCCTGTAATTTGTATATTTTTGTTAGTAGCCATGCAAAAATGGCACTGCAAGCAATGCCAAAGTTTTATTTGATTTGCTGTCATGTTATACGTAGGCCTAAGACATGAAATTCAACAGCAAAATATGTATGGAGAGTAACTAATTTGTAAATAATTTGTAAATATGTACTACCCAATACTACAGAATATCGTATTAACATAACTTAACATATTAACCCGCAAAATAAAATCCGAACCTCCATGACTTGCTGTACTCAAATCACTGTTTAAATCCAACCTTAAAACCTAAATAATCATGTACTGTACATGTTGTCACACTACATTTAGATACCAAAAAGAGCGATAAAGTTTTGAAACAAGTGGCATAAATAAACTATGCTAGTGGTCAGATATAGCTGACTTTAAAAATGTACGTAACCTATTGGTTTTTAGTCATTTTTTCCTTCGAGTATTTAATTAAAAAATTAATCCATTGCCTATTTCTTGGCTGTGTAATTATTTTGCTGATTTTTTATGTTCTGTGCAGATTGATCGAGTCACTGGAAGAGAAGGGTCTCCGGGTTCATCAGGATCTGCTATATATAGAACAGACACAAACAGAGATAGAAAGACTCAGCAAAGAGCTCAGTGGACTTCAGAAGGAGGCAGAGACATTGTACGTGTTTGGTGCTGACCTAGCTGCTGCTGAGGTTGACCTTAAGGTGAGTCTACACTGATTTGTTTGGAACCCTAGAAATTATCCCGCCTAAATTATCTTGAATAACGTAAGGTAAGTTCTTAGTTTGGCAAAATTTTCCCGGATAGGCACATTTAATTGATCGATAATAGCTTTTTATATTGGTAAAATGAGCCATTGGTTCTGTCGATTTAAGGAAGCATTTACAAATGTTTTAAGATCCTGCACACTAAGTATTTTCTTTTACTGTTTCAGAATTTAGAAGAAAGAGTGAAAGACTGTGTGGGAAGAGTTGGAGGTTTGTGTTCCAGCACTCGTAATAAGTACACAAGCACTCAGCAGCTCGTGCCTACAGACATCGCCCAAGAGGTGAGCATTTAGATTCAAAGCTAGTTTATATTTGGCTATTAATTTCTTATAACACATTTTACCCAGACACTATTGCAACTGCATGTCACTGTTTATTTTCTTTGTTCGCAATAGGTATCTCTTTTATGGTATGTGTAAATGTACACAGTGTAATACAGGAGTACACCTGTTTCTTATTGCAGATTTTTCATCATTGCAATGCTCTTCACCAATAGCTTGAAGAAATATTTTAGCTAACATAGAGCAGTAAGATTCTATAGTTGCTGTTCATTGTCAAAAAGAGCTAAATAGAAGAAAGCTGATATTTTAAATTGTAGAATTCTTGTCAAAATTCTTTTCATACATAGAGCAATTAGCATTTATAATTATTACTCATACTAAGCACCCAAACGCTAGACACTTTATATAAAAATCACTTGCAGCATTCTTTCCTGTCACAATAAATAATTTCCCCTGAAACTGATATTTCCTTTCAAATAGAACAATGTTTTATCGATACAATACATCAAACAAAAATGAAATTTAAACCTTGCCCAATGACTTTCTGCCATGTCAGATACTTAAATTCATAATTTGTTATAGCTCACGTCACTAGAGTTGATCTCTGAGGGCGTCCAAGGAGCAATGGAGGAGAAAGGGCGAGAGCTCAAACGAGCGAGGACAGTTCGTACAGAGTATGTGGCCGATGTGGATGAGATCCAACGCTGGCTGAGAGAAGCAGAACTGAAGGTTCAGGATCGCTCCATACAACCTCACAAACTCAAGGAGTATATACAGGTGAGGCTAGAGAATTGTATCTCTTACTAACTATCTAATAATGTAATACTGTAATTGTTTTATAGCTGATTATAAGGAAGAAACTACACTAATGCTATTGCTTCAATCTAGTCACACAAGGTGGTTACATATTGTTATGGCGTACCATACTTGGTTTTCCTTTCTCCTGTATCGTTGCTTGCTGTAACTTATACTAAATTGTATGACTTACTTTGGCATCATTATCAAATCTTTTGTGCAACTGCAGAATATACTTACAATTTGTAATTGATAAAAACAATATTTACAGCAAATACAAAGCGAGCTGCCGAGTGTGACTGATCGCCTCGACAGAACCAAGAGGAATGGTCAAACTTTGCTGGAGAAGTCTCAAGATGAAGAGGAGAAGAAGCTGATCCAGAGTACACTCGAGTCCTTGGAGGAACAGCTGGGACTGGTTAAGTCTTGGCTGGACGAGAAGAAGACACTGGTGAGTAAAATGTTGATTTTGTAGTGAACAAGCGAACTCCTAATCCAAACACCTTCGCTATTGAAATGTAGATGTTATCTTAACTACTAAAATTTAATCTATGGAGGAAAGAATATTAGGCTTCAACATTAAGGAAAGATGAATTTATACAGTATTAAATTACCAAAGAAAACAGTTCCAGGCAGTTGAGACAACACGAAAAGTTTGCAACACAATTAGGGCTTTAGAAGAATACGATTCACCTAATATGCTGGCCTCATGGTATAAAAAAATATTTTACTAAATATTTGCATCACTTTTCTCCACAACAAAAATTTCTGTGGTCCAATGGTATATATTTTGCTAAATTCTTGGTCCTAAGTAGAACTATGGTTTTTCTCATTGAACTAATATCTAGCAGCAAACATAGTTGATACTTTGACCCAAACCTTGCCCCCTCTATCCTGATCCAGCATTAATCCTAGTAGTCTAGTCCCCATCTGTTCAAAACTGTATTCATTCTAGTTCTTATTCAATTTTTACTGAATTCATATAAATCTCCTTTCTAAACTAATAACTTTTTAAACAACAGTCTACATTCCATTATTAATCTTTTTATAGGCAATAATTCCATATGACTTGGTTACTATAAATATTAAATAGCAACCCAGCACAGGCAGCACTTGCCTATGTCTGCTGTATTTCATATAATCGATTTAATTAATTTACACAGAAATGTTCTTTTTTATTCTTAATCTTAGTTTTATTTTGTAAATAAATTTTGTATTAAAAAAGTATCTTTTTGTTTATTTTTTTGATAACAAAAACTTGGAAGTGACCGTAAGAAGTCCATAATATTAATTCCATAATTCACTAGGTATTTTAAGGCACAAACTCATAAACTCTTGGTATTGATGTTTTTGTTTGTCCGTGACAGGTGGGCGACACACTCGATGCCTGGCAGAGATTCATGACACTCTACGACTCCGTCATGTCCTGGGTCTCGGAGAAGAGAACATTCCTGGTGGAGCCTCTGGCATTGACGTCTCTACCTCAGGCGAAACAAAGGCTCCAGGACTACTCTGTGAGTGAAGCTTGACAATTTTTAAACATTAAGTACAGTTAAATCTAAATTAACAGACGTTTTGGCTCTAGAAACACAAGACATTTTAAACTATACTAAAAATTCAAACATTTCACTATCACTCACAGTATTTGAACAAAAAAAGGTTCCATAGGGTAGAGAGATGTCTTCAGGTTCAAGTCTTAACTCAACAAGACATCTCTCTTCAGATTTGAAACCATTTTCTAGTAGAAAGTGTTGTCAATTGTCAGTGACTTTGAAATATTCAATTTTGCGTATTGTGTGTTTTTTTTGTGTTTCTTGTACCATAGTGGACTCTACCCATTCTAGTATGGCTGCTATCCTAAAATATGCTATATACCTAGGCAGTCCTGGAGCTGTATGTTACATCTACATCCTTCAAACATAATTTGTAATCCAGTAAAATCTCAGATAACTGAGACTTTGCTAGTTGTCAACTCCTGTTGTCTGCGAAGAAACGCTTAGAAATTTTGTTTGGCACTACTTTGCTCCATACTAACATAATGCTTTTGTTGAGATGGAATTTTATATCCTAAAACAAAGCTGTAGAAGGTCAATAGCTAACAACTAACTGTTTTGTTCAAGGAAAGGCTCTAAGCCAGGATTTTGAATTGTAGAAAAAGGCTATTCTCCTTTTTCTACAATTTAACAACCGACTGTATTTCTTCTCGCACTGGAAGCTAACAAGACATTGATGTCAATAATGTGTTGTAGGTCGGTGTGAAGAGCTGCAAACAAGTAACCAAGAACCTTAGTGAGATGAGCAAAGAACTGGAGACACTGACGCAGACGACGAGTGTCGGAGATCTGCCAGACAAGATGGAGGAAGCGGAGGCAGCCAAGACTGAAGTGGAGGCTCTGCTTCTTGAGAGGGTAAGCTTCAATGTTGTGAGATGACTGCCCGTCACTGTAGATTACTGATCTGAGTGATATTATGAAGACAGTCAAGTACTATTACGGGATAAGTCAAATGATATCGTTGAAATCAGTGGTAAGATAATACAAACTGGTCTCTAACAGCTTTGTCTGGCTTTATCAGCCCAATATCAAATCAACCAAACATGTACAATAAGTTTTGCTTGACGTGCCAGTACCCTGAGTATCAGTATGCTACCGCTGAATTACCGTGTTGCGTTAAAGGTATAAGATTTAAATATTCTTACGTCCAAAATCAAACCCAGTAGAGTGTTGATTATCCGGCCTAAAATTCAATAAGGGTGTTCATTTATAATTCTTATACTTTCAACAGTGCATGCTGATGCTTTTGAACTTAACCTGTTTCTGTTTGACATAAGTGTTTGTGTAATAAATAAGCCTATGATGTCAATTTAGTTTTCTAAATTAGAATAATTTTTTGTATCAAAGGATTGCATTGCTGGGAAGTGGTACCACACATTTATGAGTGCTGGAATCTTGAAAAGGAACCGGTTTTAATAGTTTTTCTCTTACAACAGAATGCCTTACTCCATGAGACCAGTGAAGAGTGGGAACAATGTGAGAAGAAGATGAAAGAGGTTCGCAGTTGGATAGAGAAGGCCCGCACAAGCTTAGAGTCTGCTCCGAACAAGAAACGACCAATTAGAGATCAGCTCCTGCTGAGGGAGAAAATGTTGGCCGACATTGCAATCCAGAAGTCCAAACTGTCTATATCCGTTGAGAAACTGCAGGTAAGTTTTTTCAGTTAAGAATCTCCAAATATTTCCAGCTAATCTCTCTTCTCATTAACATTATAACATTAATAGTATATTTCATCACTAGGGCCTGAAGTGACTCTTTTTGACCCGAGGTCAAGTTTTACGTTTGAGGTGAAGCCGAGGATGGAAAATGAGCGAGGGTTAAAAAGTCACTTTTTGCCTGTTTGGTGAACTATATTTTTTGTCATATTGCATCATTAATTAACAAACAAAGCTAGAAAACGAAATAACTGTTATGTAAAGATAACCTCTCAAAACGACTTCCAGCTTGTCTTCAATTCTGCTAATGCAAATAAGCAGCTGTTTTGGTAAGTGATTCCATCATTTCAACTATTACGATTGTGTTACAGTACATTATACCATCGATATGTCGAGCAATCAACAAAAATAGTCTAAAACCTTACCTAATAAATCAATCGATAAATAATTTTGATCGATACGATTGCCACATTCGAAACTCACAACTGTTTACAACAGCTGATTTTACTCCCTAGAGACTAAAAAATATTTTTACCCACTAGAGAGTAAAAATGCTACTTTAGACCCACAACGCATACATTAAAAACGGCTGGTTTTGCTGCAGTATGACAAAAAAATAATTGCTTAACTTGCAGCTTTGCAACTATTGATAGTATTTTTCAGTTTTTGTTCAAATGCATCTTCGGAACATAATTTGATTTGGCTTCATTTAATTTCAATCTTATTAAAAAAATATGTTTCAGTAATAAATACCCAAGTGAGTAGTGTGGCGAACTGCAAATCTATGACTGTAAAAATCATCACTAAAAGTGTTTCAGCTCTGTTCATTCCTGCGCTGTACTAGCTGAACTTTTTCTTTGCTTCATACAGTCCTTGCTCAGACCTATGTGAACACCCAAATAAGGTCACTGGTTGCCAAACAGAACAAGAGGCTAAAGGGTCGCCAACCTTTTTTAACAAAGAAAGAAATAAAATAACAAAAATTGGTTGTAAAGAGTACAGTTCTAACCACAACCTGGCAATAATTGGTCTTTGTTTTACAGTCACTTGTGTGTAAAATCTCCATAAAAAGTCCATATTTAAAGGTCCCACATGTCCTCTCTTTAAACTGTCTTACACATATCTAGTGTTACCAATATCTGTGTTGTTTTGCAGCTACATTTCCGCTCTGGAGTGGAAGGTGACCCGAAAGTTACGCAGGCTGCCGAAGAGTTACTGCAGGAGTTGGAGTTGCTATTGGCCACTGTCAAGGAGCAGACGACAGCCCTGGAGACCACCTTGCAGCAGATAGAGCATTACCAGCAGGTAAAACACAAAGTGTATTCACAAATTTTACTGTAAAGTCTCCATTTTACAACCTTGGGTATTCAAATCCATGTATACCCAAATGTGAAATGTTTCCTTGTCGGCGATTGAGGTTCATCGAAACTTCTTAGTTCACTCAAGTGCTCAGTGCTCAATTTGATCATTTTCTTTGTTGATTACTAAAAATGTATTAATTTTATTAATTCATACATAGTTGGGTCTTAGTGGTTCCTCTAGTAAGTGAAATAGGTAATAAACGACTAAACCTATTCTACTTTCTGTTTCTAGTTCCACACCTATTTTATGTGTGTACGTCTATTTACACCATTTGTATTTTTTATAAGGGAACGACCCAACCCTGGTCTCGTTATTATCTAATGTCAATGATTTATAAGATAGCATCATTAAGAGTCCTTGGAGGCTAGCGGCCATCTTGGATAATTTCAAATAGCTGCTGAAGAGTTAATTATCGCCCAAAAATAGTTTTTCAAACACCAAAGTGATTATAATGTAAATATCTAGTACATTGTGAGATTAGAAATGTTGTTTGTTGTTTGCTGGTTTGAATGTATTTCCAAAGGAGTCCATGGAAGCCAACGGCCATCTAGGATTTTCCTGCCATAAGAGCAATGTTAATTTTGTTATTTTCAAACGGCCGCTGAAGAGTTATTTACCACCTCAAAATGTTTTTTTAGATACCAAAGTGATTGTTAGATTTTTAATTGTTTTATGAGTTAGAACGTTTAGGCTCCAAGGACTCTTAATTGATAGTCCAATGACAAGTGGCATGTGAGTTCAGAAATTTTCTTGTGGGGTATTAAATTAGCAAACTTCAAATTTGAAGGCGAGCACTAATCACTGCAACGAAGACTGATTTACTTGTTAAAAGCACTTTTATCTGTCCAATTGAAAACGGTGTTTGGTTAACTTTTGAATATTGTTAATGCCATATTACTTGTTACAATATCTTTAGCTAGTTGTTGATGAATGTTGTTGTAGGAGATTCAGCAGCTGAAGCAGCAGGTGGTGCAGGTAGAGCAACAGCTCAGAGTCGTGCTGAGTCCCACGTATCAGCCGAATGATCGGGAGAAAGCCGCGGAAGACCAGAATGTAAGTTTCGTCCTCTCTCTGACCCTTTTATTCGTGGCAATGACACTTGTTGAATCCTCGGACATTGTGTGCCTGCTTCGTCCAACTCATTCTAGAAAATATGTCTTAAATGTAGTTGTAGGATTATTTTGACTCCTCGTGCAAGAGAAGTAAGTTGAAGTGTATACACAGTATTGGTATTTTGATTGTACATGTTAATGTGAATAGTGTATCCACGTTTTTACACAAGAAATCCTTTTTTAGTCTACATATAGTGTTTACAATTCATTATGCACATTTTGCTTAACTTATGATCTATGAAGCTGATAGTACTTTTTTACTGTTAACCGTATCAGATGTGCTTTCGTTCATAATAAAAGTGTTACTTGTCAACTTTCCTGAAACCTTCAAGGAAGTAGAGGTTGATCAATTTACTATCTTTTATTAGACAAAATCCACTGAGCAGCCTACACATATATTCCAAAATTTTCATTGAGATATTCCTCTCATTAAAATGTTCAGCATCTAAGCCAACTTGTTGTATGGTTGATTTAAAATTTCTCATATTTCTTGAAGTAACTTAATCATGAAGTCTTAGAATCATTTAGAGAGGGGTTGTCTTCTTTGAAAAGGTATATAAAAAGGTATCAATAACAGATATACTAAGTAGGTGTAATTTTTGTTAACAACAAAATAAAATAATATTTACATTTCTGTAGATCTATACTTGGCACTTTCTCCTTGCTATGTGTTCTTCCACTCTTATCTATTAGCATTGACAATGGATTCAATCTCTAACAATTAGCTGTGGTAAATTTCCATTGTAAATTAGGATTGATAAAACAAAATTTGACTGAATCACAAACAGGATTTTAGGTGCTGAAGTATTTATTTCAATAGAAATGTTTCAGAAGTAAGAATTAAGTTTTCAATTTATTTGACCTTTTAGCAAAGCATGGTTTAAATAATATTGTATCTATAGTCAATGCTCTTTGTCACCTGGTAGTGCTACTAAAATGATTGTTTTTGATATAATAATTTTTATATCCCTAACTCATTAGGTTCCACTGTGATTTTATATATAATTTGTATAAATTGTCTTAATAACTGTCTATTTGCCCATCTGAGATAAATAACTTATTTATATAATTATGTTATTATATAATTTTATTTAATAACATAATTTATATATAATCTTTTCATAAAAGAGGCTATTAAAATAAATCTTATATTGCTTGAAATTATTGTGTTTGTTACATTTCCAAAGTTTATTTTTTATTTTTAAAGTTTTTTAGTTGTTATTATAAAGATTTAAAGAAAATAGGTTAATCTGTTGGGTTGTTTAGCATTCAACATGCAAAGAAGAACTTCTTTATATAGAAATATCTTGCTAACACTCCAGGCACATTTTATATCATGGGGATTAAACCTCTATTCTGGAAAATTTCCTTATGAAACTTATGAATCATTGACATGATTGCTTGTAGACTAACCGTGTGGTATTAGTATTAATCTTGTATGTTTTCAGTTTCGTCCAAGGATTCAACAGTGTCTTGCACTAAGAGGAAACTCAGAAACTCTTGTATTGTGTAGTTTATCACTGCCACAACATTTAGATGGCTGGAAGCATTGCATTGTGCACATGTATACATATTTTTACAAACATATCTAAAAAAAGGTTTCCTTATCAGAATTATTGATGCCTGGTGACTTAATGTCAATGTTTCCTCTTGTTAATGCTTGGAATGAATTTTGCTTTCTGTAGATCCATCTAGGTTCAGCTTTTTGCTTTCTTTTCTGTTCTTTAATTTATCTCTTCTAACTTTAGGGACTTCCAACTGAGGTATTAAAATAAGTTAATTTATGCTTTGGGATTTTGGTTGTTTTGCTCGGCAAAGTTCTGTTGAATCTATTTCAAACATGCCATTGTTTATTTTTCAATGAGGTTGATTCAACCGAAGCTTGCCGGGTGTTTGCCGATGCAAATGCTTTGTTGACGGTGGCTGGGACTTGCAGGCATGTCGGGAGCGGGTCAAGGCTCTACAAGGGAAGATTTTTGCTCGCACAGAGCGAATCAAACTTATGGTGCTGAGAGGAACGCCAGACTTGGATCCTTTAATAGACTCTTAGCATCTGTCACTGCTCAAACGCTCGACTCGCTTGTAAATTGATTGCCGTGTGACTCTTCACCAGGCATCCCTAAACAGTGCTCCCTAGGGGTCGCTTCGTAAGCTATCTAAATGTTGTGACAGAGGCTCACAACTAGTTAATAATTGTTATTTTTTTATTTTAGTGTTATAAGAACTCTTTAGAAAGTAGATTGGAATGAAATGAATTGAGACGTAATCCCATTCAGGGTCTGGCTCGGAAGATGGACACTTGCCGAGAACGCGTTCAAGAACTGACTCGACTTTTAGAAGACGCAGATCCGGTTCTGGCAAAGTCACCAGAGGTCGTGCGGGTGGTTGAGTTCATCAAGAAAACCACCAAGCCCCTAACTGTGACAGAACTATTGGACCCTAGCGATAAATTTACATATGCCGACATAGCGGCTGGTCGAGTCAGCCCTAGTCCATTCTCAGAAACAAGCGATAGGAAAGTTGAAACACCCACTCAACTTATAGTTTCTAAGCCAATTGCAATTAAAACTCAAACCCCTAAACACTATGAAGAACATGAAATTGAAAAAGAAGTGGTATTGAAACAAGTCCCTGCATTGACTTTTGAAAAACCCGTAGTAAAAACAAATGAGGAAATTTTCTCAACTACAGAGACAAATGACAACTTAACCCCACCAAAGTCATTGCGTCGTGGACGATCTCCGAATCGCCGTGGAGCTCCTAAAGATATTCAAGAGGATGCGTTCAAACTACCCCCAAAATCAAAACCTTCCACCAACGGTACAGCTAAAAAGTTTGCTGATTCTATGGAAAGCAATAAATCCGAACTTAATGCCAAAACCCTTGTAAAAAGACTACTAGCCCCTGAATCTGTACGAGGAAGATCACCTAGTCCCTTTTACATCGCAGGAGAAAGTGCTTCATATGCCCAAATGGTCAAAAGTGGATCTAGACCACAAAGCAGATCCGCTACCCCTGATAGATCAAGAGAACGAATGATTCAAATCAAAACGGCTGATCAAGAACTAGTTACCCAAACAATTGATAGTAGACCTGCAGACATAGGGAAACAAATTGTTGAAAATATTAAAATCATACAAACACATAAAAAAGATATAAAGGGTGTAAGTGAAAATACCTCACAGAGTGCTAAGGAAATTGTAGAAATTGCAACTGATTTAACAAAGCCAACAATACCTGTGCAAGAGCTACATGCTGTCCAAAAACCTCGAAAACCCACCAAAGTTTCTGCATCACCTTCCATTGTGAAAACAAAAGTTGATTCAACCAGCAAAGACACCAAACAAAAGCTCCAGAGCAAGTCTAAATGTGATAATAAACCAACTACTCCTACTCCATCTCCAGTCGAACTTGTTGGACATTTTCCTGTCAATCCTATTCAACCAGATATTCACATCACTGATTTTCAAAGCTTAACCTCTGAGTTACAATATCCTACAACATTCACAGACCCTCAGGGTGGACTACATTATCCGCCAGGATTATTCCAACCTTACATCGGACCTGAAGGTGAAGTGGCCAGTTTTATCGCTTCAGGACAGCAACTGATTAGTTCAGGATTAGGAACTTATACGACTTCAGAACCGTACTGCGAACAACCTTTATTTGTTGAAGATTCATTTGGCGTTAATACAGGGATGTATACCATTCCACAAAATCCTGACTATCAGTCTCATGTCTTTGTCAGTAACTCACAGAGCTATATTCCAAGTTTTGAAAGCCATACTGCATTTACTCACCTTGAGAGCGAACCGTTAGCTCTTCGAGCTGACAACGAAAGTGTGTCATATGCAAGTATTTTGGCTCAAGGTATAACAGAAGATCCACATCTGAGCCAAAGCCGTTTGCAGTTGCAAACGGAGGTTCAGCAGTGGAGTATTCCACCTACTCGTGATGTCAGCTTGATTACAAGTAGTGTTGGAAGTGAGACAGTTGGCAAGAAGGAAAATGAATCTAAATCTTTAATAAAACCTGATAAAAATGTAGATGGTAAAGACATAAAGAAAGAAGATAAAACTCATGGAAAGAAAGGAGAGCCTTTTGACACAAAGTTAGGCGGAGCTGCAGAAAAAAGTAGTTCAGATCAAAACCTTGATGGTCAACAAAAGAAAAAGAAACAAAAAACAAAGACCCTCAAACAAGCCAAAGACAAAGAACAAGTTGAAACCCCAGAAGAAAAAGATGTTCCAAATAAAAAGCCAAGCCAACAGGACCAAAACGAAAAGGCGAAATCAACAATCACAATGAAAGATTCACCTTTACCTGAAGATTCAAAAATTGAGAAATCAGCCAGTTTAGAAAACCAATCGCAAACAGATAAAGATAAAAACTTATCTAATAATGCCAACACAAAAAGTGCAAAGTCTAAGTCAAAGGAGAAGCAAAATACAAGTGAAAAAAATAAACCTATTGCTAATCCTGCTGTGGTTGTTAATCCCAAAGTCAAAGCAGTTGAGATTAAAGACTCAGAAGAAAAATCATTGTTGGGCAATAAAACATCAGAGACACTTTCAGCAACTCCTAAAAGTGGTGAAGGATATACTCTGAAAGGAAAAAGGAAGGAAAATACAAAAAATAAAAGTGGTAAAACTACCTCACCAGCAAGAACAGTCGAAAGTAGTAAAGGTGTTACTGAAGAAGTTCAAGAAACACATGTGGATGCAACAGTTTCACCAAGTAACGAGCCACCTGCAAAAGAACTGATCAGTACTGAACCAAAATTAGCCAGTAATCAATCCAACAAAAAGAAGAAAAGGAAAGTTCTTGAGAAACTAGACTCTGCTAAAAGCAACATTTCAAAGATGACTGATGACGAGGGAAAAGAAGTTGAAACTAGCCTTCCAACGGTAGAACCAGTCAAAAAAGAAGATTCAATTGGAAACCCCAATTTATGTGAAGACCAAACTGTTTCAGAAAATGTGTCTGCAAAGAGCAAAAGAGTCCATAACTCTCACCAGAAACAACAAAAAACGCAAGTTAAAAGTGCTAAAATGTCCGAGTCAAGTGCTGAAAATAAAAATCAACAAGATGTTTTAGAAATAAAAACAGGAGATGAAAAATTTTCCAACCTTACTAAACAAGAGAAATTAGGTGACCAGCAAAATAAGAAGAAGAAAAAGATAGCTATCAACCCCGCTCCACCTCAGGATACTACAAAAGGTAAAAAAGAAGACAGTGCTATAGCATCTCTTACGGATGAAAATCAGAAAATTAGTGAGCAGTTTAATAAAAAGCAAAAAAATAATCCTGAAACCAAATCTAATGTTACTGGAGAAACTGTTGTAAAAGAAGATTTAACTATTAGTGTTACAGTTGACAAAAAACATGATGGGAAAGGTAAAAACCTGAAAGCCGTTCCACCTCAGGATACTACACAAGATATAAAAGAAGTCAGTGATAAAACAACTTCTTCTGATGCAAATCAGAAAATTAGTGAACAGTGCAATAAAAAGCAGAAAAAGAAACCTAATGCCAAATCCAGTGTTACTAAAGAACCTGTTGTAAAAGATTTGCCCATCAGTGTTACTGTTGACAAAAAAGAGGATGATAAAGGTCAAAACCTGAAAGCAACTCCCCCTCAAGATACTACAAAAGATAAAAAAGAAGACTGTATTAAAGCATCTCCTGCTAATGCAAATCAGAAAATTAGTGAACAGTCCAATAAAATGCATAAAAAGAAACATGATGCCAAATCCAGTGTTGCTGAAGAACCTGTTATAAAAGATTTGCCTATCAGTGTTACTGTTGACACAAAAGAGGACGAGAAAAGTCAAAACCTGAAAGCCATTCCTCCTCAAGATACTACAAAAGATAAAAAAGAAGACTGTAATATAGCATCTCCTGCTGACGCAAATCATAAAATTAGTGAACAGTCCAATAAAAAGCAGAAAAAGAAACCTGATGACAAATCCAGTGTTGCAGAAGAACATGTTGTAAAAGACTTGCCTATCAGTGTTACTGTTGACAAAAAAGAGGATGAGAAAAGTCAAAAACTAAAAGTAACTCCATCTAAGGATACTACAAAAGATAAAAAAGAAGACAGTGATAAAACCTCTCCTGCTGATGCAAATCACAAAATTAGTGAACAGTCCAATAAAAAGCATAAAAAGAAACCTGATGACAAATCCTGTGTTGCTGAAGAACCTTTTGTAAAAGATTTGCCTATCAGTGTTCCTGTTGACACAAAAGAGGACGAGAAAAGTCAAAACCTGAAAGCCATTCCCCCTCAAGATACTACAAAAGATAAAAAAGAAGACTGTAATATAGCATCTCCTGCTGACGCAAATCAGAAAATTAGTGAACAGTCCAATAAAAAGCAGAAAAAGAAACCTGATGACAAATCCAGTGTTGCAGAAGAACATGTTGTAAAAGACTTGCCTATCAGTGTTACTGTTGACAAAAAAGAGGATGAGAAAAGTCAAAAACTAAAAGTAACTCCATTTAAGGATACTACAAAAGATAAAAAAGAAGACAGTGATAAAACCTCTCCTGCTGATGCAAATCACAAAATTAGTGAACAGTCCAATAAAAAGCATAAAAAGAAACCTGATGACAAATCCTGTGTTGCTGAAGAACCTTTTGTAAAAGATTTGCCTATCAGTGTTCCTGTTGACACAAAAGAGGACGAAAAAAGTCAAAACCTGAAAGCCATTCCCCCTCAAGATACTACAAAAGATAAAAAAGAAGACTGTAATAAAGCATCTCCTGCTGATGCAAATCAGAAAATTAGTGAACAGTCCAATAAAAAGCAAAAGAAGAAACCTAATGACAAATACAGTGTTGCTGAAGAACCTTTTGTAAAAGATTTGCCAATCAGTGTTACTGTTGACAAAAAAGAGGATGAGAAAAGTAAAAAACTGAAAGCGTCTCAACCTCAGGATACGACACAAGATAAAAAAGAAAAAAGTGAAAAAGCATCTTCTTCTGATGCAAATCAGAAAATTAGTGAACAGTCCAATAAAAAGCAGGAAAAGAAACCTGATGCCAAATCCAGTGTTACGGAAGAACCTGTTGTAAAAGTTTTGCCAATCAGTGTTACTGTTGACATAAAAGAGGATGAAAAAAGTCAAAACCTGAAAGCCACTCTCCCTCAAGATACTACAAAAGATAAAAAAGAAGACCGTAATAAAGCATCTTCTGCTGACGCAAATCAGAAAATTAGTGAACAGTCTAATAAAAAGCAGAAAAAGAAACCTGATTCCATATCCGATGTTGCTGAAAAACCTGTTGTAAAAGAAGAAATAACTATTAGTGTTGCAGTTGACAAAAAAGATGATGGGAAAAGTAAAAACCTGAAAGCCGCTCCACCTCTGGATACTACACAAGATAAAAAAGAAGACAGTGATAAAACATCTCCTTCCGATACGAATCAGAAAATAAGTGAGCAGTGCAATCAAAATCAGAAAAATAAACCTGATGCCAAATCCAGTGTTGCAGAAGAACATGTTGTAAAAGACTTGCCTATCAGTGTTACTGTTGACAAAAAAGAGGATGAGAAAAGACAAAAACTGAAAGCAACTTCATCTAAGGATACTACAAAAGCTAAAAAAGAAGACAGTGTTAAAACTTCTCCTGCTGATGCAAATCAGAAAATTGGTGAACAGTCCAATAAAAAACTGAAAAAGAAACCTGATGCCAAATCCAGTGTTGCTGAAGAACCTGTTGTAAAAGATTTGCCTATGAGTGTTACTGTTGACAAGAAAGAGAATGAGAAAAGTGAAAACCTAAAAGCCTCTCCACCTCAGGATACTACACAAGATAAAAAAGAAGACAGTGTTAAAACCTCTCCTGCTGATGCAAATCAGAAAATTAGTGAACAGTCCAATGAAATGGAGAAGAATAAACCTGATGACAATTCCAGTGTTGCTGAAGAACCTGTTGTAAAAGATTTGCCTATCAGTGTTACTGTTGACACAAAAGAGGACGAGAAAAGTCAAAACCTGAAAGCCATTCCCCCTCAAGATACTATAAAAGATAAAAAAGAAGACTGTAATAAAGCATCTCCTGCTGACGCAAATCAGAAAATTAGTGAACAGTCCAATAAAAAGCAGAAAAAGAAACCTGATGCCAAATCCAGTGTTACGGAAGAACCTGTTGTAAAAGATTTGCCAATCAGTGTTACTGATGACATAAAAGAGGATGAAAAAAGTCAAAACCTAAAAGCCACTCTCCCTCAAGATACTACAAAAGATAAAAAAAAAGACTGTAATAAAGCATCGTCTGCTGACGCAAATCAGAAAATTGGTGAACAGTCCAATAAAAAACAGAAAAAGAAACCTGATGCCAAATCCAGTGTTTCTGAAGAACCTGTTGTAAAAGATTTGCCGATCAGTGTTACTGTTGACAAAAGAGAGGATAAGAAAAGTCAAAAACTGAAAGCAACTCCACCTCAGGATACTACACAAGATAAAAAAGAAGACAGTGTTAAAACCTCTCCTGCTGATGCAAATCAGAAAATTGGCGAACAGTCCAATAAAAAACAGAAAAAGAAACCTGATGCCAAATCCAGTGTTACGGAAGAACCTGTTCCAAAAGATTTGCCTATCAGTTTTACTGTTGACAAAAAAGAAAGTGAGAATAGTCAAAAACTGAAAGCCACTCCACCTCAGAATACTACAAAAGAGAAAAAAGATGACATTGATCAAATATCTCCAGTTGATAAAAATCAGAAAATAATCGAGCAGTCCAATAAAAAGCAGAAAAAGAAACCTGATGCTAAATCTAGTGTTGCTGAAGAACCTGTTGTAAAAGAAGATTTAACTATTAGTGTTACAGTTGCCAAGGAAGGTGATGAGAAAAGTATAAACCTGAAAGCCCCTCCACCTCAGGATACTACAAAAGATAAAAAAGAATACAGTGATAAAATATCTTATGCTGATTCAAATCAGAAAATTAGTGAACAGTCCAATAAAAAGCAGAAAAAGATACCTGATGCTAAATCCATTGTTCTTGAAGAAACTGTTGTAAAAGATTTGCCTATCAGTTTTACTGTTGGTAAAAAAGTTGATGAGCTAAGTCATAACCTGAAAACTGTTACACCTATTATGGATAATCCAAAAGATAAAGATGGAGACAGTGAAAACTCATCCCCTGCTGGTGACAATCAGAAAAGAGGTGAACAGACCAATAAAAAAGAAAGAAATAAAACTTATATCAAATCCAGTGTTTCTGAAGAATCGGTTGTGAAAGAAAATTTGCCTATCAGTGTTACAACTGTTGCAAAAGCGGATGACAAAAGTCAAAATCAGAAAACTCATCAACCTAAGGACACTAAAAAAGATAAAACTGTTGGCAATAATAAATCATCCCCTGTTGATGAAAATCTGAAAAGAGGTGAACAAGCCACAAAAAAAGAAAGAAAGAAACCTGTGGCCAATTCCTGTGTTTCTGAAGAACCTGTTGTAAAAGAAAATTTGTCTATCAGTGTTACATCTGTCGCAAAAGAGGATGACAAATGTGTAAATCTGGAAACTGCTCAATCTAAGGATACTACAAAAGATAAAAATGTAGAGAGTGAAAAACCATCCCTTGCTGATGAAAATCTGAAAATTGGTCAACAAAATAAAAAGCAAAAAATGAAACCTGATATTAAATCCATTGTTACTGAAGATCCTGTTGTGAAAGAAGATTTGCATATTAGTGTTACTGCTGACAAAAAAGTGGATGGGAAAAATCAAATCTTTGAAACTACTCAACCTCAGGATACTACAAAAGATAAAAATGTATTCAGTGATAAACTATCCCCTGCTGTAAAGAAAGGTAAAGGTCAAAAAGATGAAACTGTTGCTGATTCTAAAGTAAATACTGACAAGGATAATGTTAAAAGTAGTTCAGCAAGTGAAACGCCAGGAAGGGTTGTGTCAGAAATCAAAAGTATTCATGAGGATGGTTTTAAACAATTTGAGCCTGCTAAAAATAAAAGTTTTAATCAAGAAAAGGAACCATCAAAGAATAAGAAAATTAACAAGAAAGAGGATCATTTAAGTACTTCCAATGACTCCCATGTTAAAACTGATCAAACAATTTCAGATCAAACTACCAAACCAGTAGAAAAAAGTGATTTGAAATTAAAAGAAGTTCATAGTGTTTGCTATTCTCCGATCACAGATAAAAGTAAGTCGTTAGATAAGGAAACAATAACAACAGACACAAGTGAAAGTTTGTTTGAAAGACTTTCAACCAGTAGCAATCCACAAGAAGATGAAGGACAGTCATTTAATAATATAATGGTTGATATAATTTCAAAGCTGGATGAAGCAATATTAAAAGCTGATGCAAACATAAAAGAAAAAGAAATGCCTAAAGGTAATTCACAAAGTAATAAACCAAGAACTATAAAAGAGAGTGAACAAGAGCCATCCTTTCCTGAAACTAAAGTGCAAACAACACCAGAGGGTTTTAAAAGTGAAATCAAACTTAACATTGGTAATCATGGTAGTATTGATACTGCTAGGGAGAATGAAGAGAAAGGAGTGTTAGATTCCTGCAAAACAGAATCGTCTGCTCCTCCCTCACGTTTAGTTAGAAGGAACACAAAGAAAAGTAAGCAGCTTTCTATCAGACAAATTGAAAATAACAACCTTGAAAATCCAGAAAGTGTTGCTACAGGAACATCACCAATAGAAAAAGACAACGATTTTGTGAATCAGAGGGTTGCTGAAAAGCCAGATTCTGTTGATGGCCAAACAAAAATTAATGAAACAAAAGAAGAAGCTTCTCCAAAATCAACCAAAGAGCAGAATATAAACACTCGTAAAGAAGTTAAAAATATTGTTTCATCAGATTCACCAAGTGAAGAAATCGTTACTAAAACACCACCTACCATTGAAACAGACTCATCAGAAATTGTAAATACTAAACCCAAAAAGGATAAGAAAATCCCAAGAGAAAACAGGAGTATTAAAACTACTGAATTACAGAAAGAACCCTTAGCACTAAAAAAGGATGCTAAGGTTTCTATAGACAACCAAACTGAAAAAGCCCCTATTGTGGTATCCCTACCAGAAACACCATCTACAGCAGAATCTCCTGCAGTCATCGAAATCGAGTTGAATGAAAGTACACCACTAAGCGACCTAACTAAAGATGTTATAAAGCCATTTTTCAAACGTTCATCGCCAAATATTTTTGCTTTTGATGACACTACACCAACATTTCAAAACATCAAGGAAACAGATGGTAGTACAGAAGCAAAAAGTGAGCAAAAAGATGATTCACAAACTAAAGGAAAACCAAAGAAAAAGCAACCAAAATCCATTCCTGTTAAGGCTGATCAACCTGGAAAGGTAGATCAGGTTAACATTAAGGAAGAGAAAGTTGTTTTAGATGAAACTGAAATAGAGCAAAGTACATCATTCAAAGATCACAGCCAACGTTTGCCATCTTTGAGAAGAGAAAAATCACCATTACTAGCTCTGGCACCGCCTTGGATGGCAAAATTGGTCCAGGGAGAACAATCTAACATTGAAGTAGAAAGTAAAGGGTTGAAAACACATGACAGTTCAGTTTTAAAGCCTTCTGAAAAAGAAACTGAAATCGTCTCAGAAGCAATTGAAGTTGGTATTTTTGGATCGGTAAAAGAAAGACCTAAACCAATCACGAGTCCTGATGAAATAAAGATAAAACAGCAACCAAATATCAAAAAACACAAGAAAAAATCTGATTCTGAGACCAAGGCGAAGACAGGCAAAAAAGAACTCGTCCCTAGTAAAGAAGTCTTAGATGAACAAGATGGCGGTCTTAAAAATAAGCCACTAACCTCAGAAACCAAGCCTGTTAAAAGTTCTTTTGAAAGCACTGAAAAAGCATTGTCAACTCAAATATCAGAACAAATTTCACTGAATGAACCTGTAAAGCAACAGATTGATAAAAACAAGAAGAGTAAACAGAAGAAGGGAGATAAAAGCGATGTACCTGTTACAAATAAAGACTTTTCTGTAAATGTAACAGAAATTGAATCAAAACCTCAAGAGGTTCAAACAATACTGAAGGGTCAAGATTCTGTCAAAGAGGCTCAAGAAGAAAAGTTGTCCGATATAAACTTGAAGGCTGTAGATAAAGAAAGTAATGAAAAAGGAAAAACCAACAAAAAGGATCATCCTAAAGTAAATAAAGTAGAAACACCTTCAAAGAAAGCTTCCGGTAAGATAGATGAAAATGTTGAACCAACTAAAGCAGAAACAGCAGCCAAACTAGAAAAGGATATCCCGGTTGATGAGTCTTTAAACACCAATAAGACAAGTGAAGTTGAGAAATCTCCTGCAGAAAAAACTGCCAATCGTCGAAAAGAAAAAAGTATTGACAGAAAAGATATTACTGTTCCTCCTCAAACAAAGAAAATTGAACAAAAAGACCTTCAGAGGGAAACAGAACCAAAACAAGAAAAACATTATCTAGTATTTCAGGGGGATGTCACTGCACCAGTTAAGCATAAAGAAAAGAATATGAAAGTGAAGGATGAGGAAATAACCAAAAGTGTGACAAATGTTAGGACTGTTGAAAATAAAGTTCAAAAAACTTTGGTCTTGGAATCATATGTGTTGGGTCAAGTAACTGACATACCAGAAACTCTAAATACCGTTATAACCGAGGGAAATAGGGACACAAGTATAGAAGTTTCAGTCATTAAGGAATTGAAAGTGGATCCATTTTGTTGTGCTCCAAAGTACCCTTTACATGAAATTGAAGAAGCTGAAAAACAAATGCATCAGATAAATAATGTAAGTGAAAGTGTCGTCACAGAGGGAAGTGATGATATATCAACTCATTCAGACATAAAATCTAATGAATCGGTATCTTGGGCTAAGATAGCAGCAAAAGATAAGGTTGTTAAAGAAGAAATAACAGAAGTTGTCTCAACAGGTGCTGATAATGTACAAAAACCCATACCAATTGTTATCTGTTCTGATGAGCCAGAAGATAATGTTGTTCCCACAGAGCCACTTGTTAACGTAGATCCTGAAGGTTTCATGGAGTTTGTTCCCAAAAAGGAGATTCGTAAAAGAAAGTCAAGATCTAGATCTCGAACTCGATTAGATTCAGATAAACTCAATAGTGAAGACACCAAGAAAGAATCTTCAAAAGAAATTAAAAGTTTGGTCATTGACGATGTTGACAGTATTAAAGTCCATGTAGTTTCAGAAGTAGATTTGGAAATGAAACCTAAACCAAAAGAAGGACTAAGTTCATGTTTGTATCAAACTAAAATCGATAACAAGAAGTCAGTTAAATCACTTAGTGAGCCAACAGAAATGAATCAATTATTGAAAGTTGCAGGACACCATTCAAGGACTAGAAGCCGTAGTCGGAGTAAAACCCATTGTCGATCCCGAAGCAGAAGTAGGAAAATTTCAGAAACTGAGAAAGAAGTTGATGACATTCTAAGAGCGTGGAGTAGGGAAGAGGTTCTTCAGCAAAACATATTTTTGGACAATACGTTCTGGGTGGATAAGTGGAAATATGATGATGCAGAAAAATCTCTTCACAAAATGTTTACCAGCCCCTCAAATGAGCAAATACTTACCATTGATACTGATGACAAACATGGGGATGATCGTGACGATAAAGGTCCAAGTAGTGGACCATCTTCACCTGGATCAAAGAGTGATGAAAAGGGGAATCAAGGCAGTAAGTTCAATCTATTAACAGACAAATGTACTGCTGACTTGCCTCATGGGGTTGGAGCATGGTCAGATTCCAGTACGTACATTTCAGATGAGAAGTCTCTTGTTCAACAGCCAGACGACATTAATCCTGTGAAGGTAACACAAATTTCTTCTACTAGTGAAGATAAATACAACGAAAATTCTGTAGAAAAATCTGTGACAAAAGATATTGTCTATACTATTACAGAGAAATTCCTGATACCAAATGCTGATGTCTTGGAAGAAAAATCCTCCGTACAGCCTATCAAAGATGATAGGACGATTACTGAGGAGGAGGTCGATGATCACAACAAGAAGATGTATTCAACAGAAGAAATAATAACAACAGGCGTACAACCAAGTACAGAGGCATATAATAGTTCTACAATTGACTTTAGTGAAGAAAAGCCCTGGAAGCAACCTGCAGAAGAGGACTTAAAGAATTTTGTTGGGGTTGGTGATCAGAACAACAAGATCTATTTAGGAGAAACAGTTACAGTAGGTATGCAACCTACAGTACAGACATTTTGCGGTTCAAATAGTGACGTCCCTAAAGAAAGTTCTGCGACACAATTTTTAGTTGGTAGGTCCCTCGAAAATCCTGTAGGTCCTGTCGTTGGTGTGGGTGATCAAGCAAAGATTTATACAGCAAAAGAATCAATAACAGGGATTATGTCTGAACGAGTAGATTTGTCAGAGACTCATTCCCTATACTCAAATGAAAAAACTCCCATTCAGCATCAGCCAGAGAGTGGATCCCCGGACACTCCAATCACCACGTCACAGTTTACCAAACTGTCAAAGGTTCGACTACTTGACTGTTTTATCTTTTGAGTGGTGGTTTGGTTTTCTGTGTTGCTGTCGTTTTCAAATTGGCTTGCAACATCGGAATGACCTCATTTTGCTCTTGCTGGAGATACTTTGTCTGTTTGGCTTGCTTTTATCGATTGGTTTCATTGGATCCAGGGCTGCGTACCCAAGGTCTTGGTGTAGTTCGGCTTTTTGTTTAAACTAATAAAATCTACTGATAGTTGGAGCTTTATCACTAACTGCTTTCAATCAGAGACATCACGAGACAAAATTTTTCTTGTGAATGAAGGATTTATATAGAGTTTAAGTCGTAACACTTTCAATAACTTTATTGCTGTTAGTAAATAAAATATTTTTTTTTTCTAACGAATAATGTTTGTCTGGACATTTATTTATTTAGGAAATTTATTTAGGAAAAATATCAGCATTCTAGATTGTGATTTTTTTTTTTTTTTGGATCTGTTACATATAATAAATTTAAATATTGATTAGGTTTGTGTTTGACCCACCACGTACTACAAGCATAAATCTTTTGCTTTAATTGCAGAAAGATACATAAACTGGCACAGAAAAAATTAATAAAATAATTTTAAAGAAACCAATACCTACTAAGGATACTCAATTCTACTAAGGATAATGTCAAATACATAATTATACTTTAATGTATTGCATTCATCTTTTGAATTGTTGTTAAAATTTACCCATCATCATGGTGGATAGATAAATCCACAGTTTAGCTTCAAAACTGTGTATATTGTGATGTTGAATGTATTGTTTTTAAAAATCAAATTCACGCACAAAGATTTTTAGGTTTTTGACCCTGACATTTCACAGGAATGATAATAAAGTTTTAGATTATTTCATCCATAAATTTTTCTTTAAACTATTTGAACACTCACCCTATATGTTGTAAAATATGTGATAAAAAGCATGAATGTAACTTTGTAATGAAACATAGTTCCATACTCGCATGATAACTAATACTGGTCGATTGGTTAAGCTTTATTTTTAACAGTTCTCTGCCATTGTATATCTATATTAGTTTTGTTCTTATTCTGGGTTTGGTGCTTGATTGTTCATACGAAACTGGTTGTTGGTGTTTAAAGTCTTGAGTTGTAATTCTTTATTGGTTTAAATAGGTTATTTTTAGCTAAATGTTTACAATTTTGTATATGAGCTCCAATATATTTTTGTTACTAAACGGCATAACTGTATATCATAAAAAAAATTATAGTGAAGGAAAAATTACCCTGTTTTACATTCAGTCCTGAGCATAATAGAATTATATTTCATACTGTTAAAATACTTGTGATGAAACACATTTTATGAACAGTGTCCTGCATGTAAGTACAAACAATTTAGGAATAGGTTTAATGAGCTAAAATTAAAGTTAAATCAAGAATAATTTTTTTTTCTAAAAATGCCTTGTTAGTGAGATATCTGCCATTTTTAATTTCTGTATTTTACCAAAATGTACAAAAACAGCAAAAATATGAGCGCTTGTAAAATTCATCTCAGAAACTTAAAATCTTTCTTGAGTTATCCTCTATTTTTTTTAGATCTTGGTCCTTAGAAATCTGTAATAAATATTTCCCGAGACCATGGATTTTGCATCTACCAGTTTTCATTTATCACCCACATAAGATTCACTTTAAGGCCTATATTGTAAAATTATTATCTGTTGCCAACTTACCATTAATGCTGAAATATATTTAACTTGAGCACAAGAGAATGGAAAGTTTAATTTTAATAATTTAAAATAGTATAACAAATTAGTTGGGATCAAAACTTTGAAGAGTTCTAAGTTTATAGATTTTTTGTAAATTCTTACAACAGACCTTATTTATTTTAGGTAAACCGGTAACTCATTTTTTTACAAAACACTAAAATATACGTTCTTCAGAATAAAAAAAATTACCAATAATAACTTCCCATGTTGGTTTATTGTTGGAAAAATTAGTTTTGTAATCTCTTGATGTATCAATTTGACTCTGACTCTAATTTCAACCGTTCCATCAAAAAGATATCTACAACAAAATTAAGTCAAGTAGTAGTTTTCAGTAGTTATATACTATTACAAGTTTTTACAGATTGGTTGTTTTTATGTAACAGGTTACTTTGTTGTACCTGGTTACTGTGTTCTAAATGTAACAGGTTGCTGTGTTGTAACAGGTTACGTTGGCAGCAGATCTGGATAGTCTCAGAAGAGATTTGGCAGTTACAGAAGACCAGTTGAGGGCTTTACCTACAGAAGGAGTGGAGGAAATGCTGGACGCCCTAGTAGTGAGTTAAAGTGGACATTTATTATAGAGCGTAGTTTCTAAAATTTAAATGTCAATTTTAATTTAAATGTGGGAAAAGTAATGTAAATTTTTTGTCTATGACAAAAGTATCGTGATGGAATGGCCTCTGGTATTGTCTGAATGAACTAATAGAGGCTTAAATTACTTGGTCACTGTCAAAACGATTCTTGGTTATCTTTGTAAACCACCAAGGATTGTTTTGACAGTAACCAAGTAGTTTAAACCTCTAATAGACAAAATAATTTTTTTATCACACTCAAACACGTTTAATTTGCGTTTTTGAAATGTATAGACTTTTAAATTTGTGATGATGGATTCCTTAATCATTGGGTTTTTATTAAATGATTATGGCAAAAAAAAAAAATAAACAGACGATTGTTACTATGCAATCCATTCTAAACTGTTAATTCACACTAATTTAGCCTAAAATGCTTAAAAAAATGTGCAACACTGTCTTATTAAATTGATTAAGTTGATGTATATAGTATTTCAACTGATGCCCTTCTTTTTCATAATGATAGTACTTGATCAAATGTTTTAAAATTGACGTGACAAGAAGAAATTAAATGAATAAAGAATAGATTGCAATATTGCTCATGATAAAATCAAAAATTCTTACATAATTATTGTGTTTTGCATTATTAAATTTTCTTCTAATCAAAATCAACAGCTGATCTGATTATTATTGTACTGTCTTACAAATTAAATTCCAATCCCAATAATCCAATCCTTCCACTTATAAAGTGCATTGTTAAAAGTGCAAATGTGAGTCCCAAGTGATGAAACAACATTAATATTTAGTGGGGTAATAATATTTACCCTACATCAGACTAATCACACGTTTGATACAGAAATGTGGAGGAGATTTGAAAACTTATGAGCTGACTGCCGGGTGTATCCGCGAAGGAGTTCTCGTACTCCCTCAGGACGAGGAGACAGAAGCCCTTCAAGTTGAGGTGGATAAAGTCCAGGAGAGAATAACAGTTCTGGAACAACAGGTGGAGGCTGGAAAGCAGAAGCTCCAGGTGATTTAAACATGTTCAGCCATGGTCAATTGAGTTGTAGTATTGCATTAAATTACTTTGTAAATAAATCAAAATCTGAGTGTTTGCCTCGGGATTGTTTTGTAAGCGCTCTTCATCAAACATTATTAGCCTTAATACAATCCTAAATTAACCTAGACAAGCTAGGTTTTGATTGTATTTAAGCTTAATTGGTGTGTAAAATAAAATTTGGTTCAGTCATTGTCAGCACAATGAACTTTAAAAACCATTACATTGTCGTTTTGTATCCAAATCTGTAGTAGTGAACATGGCAAATGTCTCAGGTGTGCAGCCACATGGTTATCATTCACTATGTTTCCATACCTTAAAATTCGCCTCTCTGTCTGTACCTTACCACATGTACCTTCTCAGTCGACTTGGTAATTTTACTACTCCATCCCAGGCCCTGTGACTTTATAGTCTCAGCTCTTCTGTCCAATCTGACATTTCACTATATTTACTGTACAATCTTCTACTACTCTTCGTCCCCAGTCCTCTAACGATTTGCTAAATTTAAGACGGAGGGAAGTTTGGGTTGCCTCCTCATGGTAATAGACTTATAATCCCGTACCACTGTAAAAATCTCAAACCATTATTGTATCAGTACATTTTTATTTAGTAGAGTACTAGTTCACACCCAGTTTGCTTGATATGGACCAGGCCCTACCCTAACACAAGGAGGGAGTCTTTCTCTTAAAAAAATTTCTATTTGCATAGGCTACTCAAATATTTTGGAAAGTATGTTTTTTACCCTGACAAAAAATTGAGAAAATCTTTGTAATTTAAGGTGCTTAATGTGTTGGATGTTTCAAAGAAAATATTATTGTACTGACTTTAATTCTGTATGAAGTATGCAAGAGATGAGAACATTGATTTTTTTCAGTCATGCCATGATACCAAGGACAAACTGCAGAAGGAGGTTGTTGAATATCGTATGTTGATGGAGGAACTTGAGAAATGGGTTGCTGGAATAAAACTGATGCTACTAACTGACCTACACAAAAACAATGCCGAGGAGCAGGTCAAAGTCCACCAGGTATCAATTATAAAAATCAACTACAATTGTTAGTAATTTCTAAACATATTGCATATGAACATATCAAATCTTCAATTAACATGATGTGATTACCATTTAAATGATTTCCAATGCATCATATTAAACTTATTATATGTGAATAGGTGGTAGTCTAGACTAGTTGAGGAAGGTTTAAGTACAACTTTGTATTTTCATGTCTTATTTAATGACTTAAGGCACACAGTTAAATTTTTGTTGTAAATTTCTGATGACTACAATTGTTATGACTCATACCATTGATACTAATTCATATTGTAAAAATGATTTCATTGTGTGTTTTGCTTTGTTTTAGAAATTGTTGGAAGATCTGGTTCAGAGGCAGAAGAAGCTATCAGAGTTGAGGTCTTTGTGTGGCAATCTGGAAACTTTTAAAGACGTTAAGGAGCTAGCAGAAAATCTTAATACTTCACTAACGTCGCTCGACTCTGAACTGTGTTCAGCCAAGAACCTCACTGAAGCTCGCCTAAAAACTCTTCAGGTACAAACAAATGCAAGCACAAAGGAACTGGAGGCAAAACAATACTTACTAAAAGAATTTTTTAACTCCCCATCTTTTATATTTCACCTTTTTGCAACATTTCTGCTGCTTACGGCATTGGCAAAGCTTAACAACATATTGACTAGCTAAGCTGGGGCTTTGGTGTTGGTATTTTTGCGTTTTGTCTTCTTCTGAAACTTTTTGTATAGACCTTCCTTTTTTGAATTTTGTTTCACTTTTTAGAACGTAGACTGTGTAGTGGGTTACTTTTAGTCTTCATTTTACCTCATTTTGTTGGTTTTCATCTCACTTTACCATCCACTCCCAATTTTGTCAGGAAATACCTGCACTGCACCGCATTTTGCACTGCATTTTGGATTGTACGGTAGTTTTAGTTTAGCTAATAGTCTAAGGGCTATTATCTTATCATTTTTCATCTTATCTTCTATTTGAAATACATGATCCAGGTCCAAATATTATGTATATACTTGTATTAGAGAAAATTACAACTCTCGGTATAATATATTTCTATGACTTATTGTGGATTGCTTTTGTAGGATCTGCTCAAAGTTGAACCAGAGTTGCCAGCCCCTGTTCTCACACCTTCCCCTGTTGCTGCTACTTACCCAGTATTATCTCCTGTAGAATCTCCTGTTCATGAGGCCTCTAGAGATGATACAATTACTTCTAATGTATCTCCTATTCCGGAAGAAGAAATCGCTGTACATGTTTCACAAGATCTAGAAGCGCCCAAGCCTGAATTAATTGCTCAGGATTCAGGCACACAAACTGGTAGAAGTCTAATTCTATCTCCAGAAAAACAGGTACACATGGAAGTTCAGACAGATTCAATAGCAGATGCGCCAACTGCTATTGCCATTCAAACTGACGATAAAGGTTGGGAACCAAAGGTTATGCCTAAAGGAAAAATACAGATCCTTCAAAAAGTTGAAGGTAATGAAGAAACTATAGAAATTGCTACTAGAAGCAATGTTGACAGTCAATTGGACCCTGAAACAACTAGACCCGGTGAAGACTTAACCGTAGAAATCAAATACAAGGAGAATAAAGATTGCAACGAGCCTTCTGTATCTGAGCTTAATATTTCTCATGATGAACCTCAGTCCTTTGAAACTATTATAATGGACCCTGGAGAGTGTTCTACTGAAGTGATTGTAGACGCTGATGGTACGAAGCGTATTGTTTTGAGGAAGACTAGGAAAATTATTACCCATCGCACAATGACATCTGGTGTGAATGTGGAAACTGTAGATATGAAACCCATCGCATTTTCCCAAGTAACACTTCAGCAACAACAGAAATCTGTGACTCAAACGATGCCTGATGGTAAGAGAGAGATTACCACCTCTCAAGGATACCTGGGTCAAATTGCCAGTGGGACTCAAGACGGAACTATCACCACAGCTGAGTTCTCTAACATGCCACATCAATCAACTACTTACCATACACTTTCAAGCAATGTAGATCTACGTAATATTCCAGACACCTTAGAAACATCACAAATAGACCTAGCTGAACCTACTGGACTCACTGAATGGACAACTGGTTCCTCAACAGTGAGAGCTGTGGTTCACCAAGTAAGAAGGAGGGTCATTAGAAGAACCAGAAGAATAATCCGGAAAGTTGTCATAATTGATGGCAAAGAACACATTACGGAAGAAGTTGTGGAGGAGCCAGAAGAAGTTGAAGTTTCAGAGGACGGCATTCCTCGAGTTAGTATTGAGATATCTAAGGAAGGCCAAGGTGGAATGACTGTTCAAGAACCATATGAAGAAGACCATTCTCTGCAAGATGCTGGAGTTGAAATATCAGAAATACTTCCTGGAGATGACTACGATGACAAACTTGAAGGGAAGGAAGTCTCTCCGACCACAGTGAGCCCACCATCTGAAAGTTGTAAATCTTACGGTCACATACCTTTGTCAACTAGTGAGCAAGTGAGAGGCCAACATTTTTCAGATATATTGGATGCCGATCTCAATGAATCTTCAGGATGTGTTCCAGAAAATTATAGTCTGGCTGATTATCAAGAAGCTTTACCAACAGAAAATGTTAAAACTACAGATAAAAACGTCAAAACCTTATTTATAGAATCCCAAAAAACTTCAACTAGTTCAACACCTGTTGTTTCTGAAATTCCAGCATTAATCAAAAAGGATACCAACCTAGAATCTGAATGTAAACTCCATGAGGACCCTGCTTTGTTAGAATGCAAACCTTCAGAATCTATACAGAGTACTCCATCAAAAAAACCCCTTTCTGCTGAAAACCCATTAGCTGGTGAAATTTTACCGGGTCGATTACCAAAAAAAGGTAAGAAAACTCCTGATAAAAAGCCTCCAAAGAAATCTAAGGAAAAATCTCCGAGTCCTTCAGACGAAGCAAAATCTACTTATGATAAACAAATTCTTCAAAAGACAAGTGAAGTTAAAAAACCCCAACATGAAACCTCTCCACCCTTACCAGTGGATGGTGAAATCACAGTGGTCACAAAATCACAAAAGTCTACCCTACCACTAGAGAAACCGATTAAGTCTAAAATACATGAAGAACCTAGTGTAAGTGAAAGTCCTACTTCTGAAGACAGTAACCCTGGCCTGCAATCAGGAGCAGACAAACCAAAAGAAGAAGTGATATCAATTCCTGGAGTTGATGACTCTAAACCTACCCCAAAAACCAAAAGTGGCAAAAAGGCAAAGAAAGGTTACAAGGATGAAGGAAAACAACCCAGAGAACAACAGTTAAGAACAGAAGAAGAACCTGAAAAAAGAGTTCATCCAAAAGATACATTGACCAAACAAGACCTTACAAAAGATGTAATTGACATAACTGAAGTAAAGGATGTGCCCTCACCCAAAAGTACCATTGACAACAAACATAAAGAACCAATTAATAGGGAAACAAAAACTAAAGTAATTGAACGGGAAATAGATACACCTTCAGTTATCGAGGACAAAGGACTTGATTTGGAAGGAAACCCATCATTATTTAGTGATAAAAATAGTAAAGATATATCTTCAGATGAATCCTTGCGTGATACAATTTCAGACATTACTAATGAAGCAAGCAAATCCACCATACCTGTGGTTGAGAGTGAAGAAAATAAAAAGGTTGACATTTTACCTGTTGTTGCGTTGAAGAGGGGTGAACTGCTTCAGGAAACCTCTCGGCCTGATGGTAAATTGTTAGGCAATATAGAGATAGAGATAACCGTAAAAGAAACGTCAGACTCATTGGAAGAGTGTATTCCAAAAGTGGCTAGTGGCACCAAGATTGAACCAAAAGTTGTAGAGGATGAAATAAAGGATTCTATGGAGATTGTAAAACAAAAATCTGATGTTGTTTTACCAGCAGTGGTGCAGGTAACAAAAGAAGTAGTAAAAAAGATGGAACCCTCAAATTCTAGTTCATCATCTGAAAAAAGTAAAAGAAAACAGAAAACTAAAACACCTTCTCCTGAAGAACTGTCCACACCTACATCTCTTGCAGAATCAATGGAAATTTTACTACCTGAATCTCCAAATTCCACTGATACAACAAAACCAACACATCAAGAGATATTTGACATTTCATCACCAAGATCCGATATTTCTCAGCTTGATAGTATTAAAACGTATGATACTGGATATGAAGGAGAAGATAAAACTACAGTGGATGAATCCTCTTTGAAAGAGGATGATATTTCTAAATCCAAAAAGAAAAAGAAGAAAAAACAGAAACTCAAGGAAATAATTCCTGACGAATCTAGTATTGAACCAAAATCAAGTGACTTTGAGCCTTCAGATGCTGTTGAAGATGTTGGTTTTACTGCAAAAGACTTAAAAACTAAAAAAACCAAGGGCAAGAAGGGAGATAAAAAGAACAAGAGTGACAAGAAGGAAGAAGAAATTCATGTTGCTGAAAGTGCTGCTGAGGACATTGCAGAAGGTTCTGTAAAAGATTTAAGTGACCATTCAGCAAGTGAAGGCATTGTAAAAATTATTCAAGAATCAATGCCCACTGGCTCTTCAAGTGAAGCTGAGGAGTTTAAATCATCCAAAGTACTCACATCTGTACCTGTTTTGGAAATACTTCCAACACAATCAGAATCAGTCCAAACAACACCACCCATACTGGAAGATGTACAGCCCACTGAAACAGCTGAAACATCAACTCAAGTAAGTCAAACTACTCAAGAAATGTTCGCTCAAACACTCACACCTGAGAATTCAAGCATTGAGGCTTACATTCAAACAATTCCTGAAGAGTTAGTTCCTACCACAGAAGAATCAGCGCAGACACATACCCCTAAAGCACAGTCGCCCATTCAAACTATGGATTCAACCATGCAAACTTCAGAAGAAGATAAACCATCTCAACAAGAAGAAGAAATTCAAACTGATAAGGTAAAAATAAGTTCTTCGGACAATGTAGATACCAGTATGCAAACTGTAGCTGAGGAAAAACCTGTTTTCCAAGAAGAAATGGCTCAAACATCTCCGGAACCAGAAATGATTCAGTCTGCAAGCCAAGTAATTTCAAGTGATTTAATTCCTACAGAAGAAGAAGAAAGTCAGACTGTTGAACAAACTGTCACCACGGTTGATTTATCAACTCAAATAAAATCATCTGATCTGATACCAACTCATGATGAATCAATACAGACAGTCGTTGAAGAAACTGCCCCATTGAATATCACCCAACTTGCTGATAAGCAAGAACTACCTGAGGTAACTGTTTCTAAAGATATTATAGCTTCACAGAGTGATCCTGTATCTGAACAAGCTAAAGTTTCGCCACCAGAAATTGTAAAAACTGCAGATTCAACATCACAAACAAAACCAGTCAAGATAAAAAGTGATAGCGGGTCTGATGAGACCTACCCTGTAACTGAGACACCTTTTAAAATACAAATAGAAGCAACCGTGACTTATGGGCCGGAGTTTGACACTGATCTGTCAACTTCAGAGAGTAAGAGTGAGTTGAGTACCACAAATAAACCTCCCAAACAAATCTGTGCTCAGCCATCAACTGATACCACTGATAGTGACGTTTCTTCTTGGGTGTCACATAAAATGAGATCACCTTCTCCTCAAAATAAAAAGAATAAAAAGTTCAAACAGAAAAAACAGAGTTTGTCAGAGAAAGGTATTAAACCTGTTGTACAATCTGGCTCAGAACTTAAACCTGATACAAAAGAAGAAACTTATGAGGAACACAGTGGCAAACCTGACATCAAAGCCAAAATAATGTTTGATGTTGATGAACACAGGTCTTCAGTAAAACCTGAACTCGTTGCAGAAATATCTCAAGATAAAAATACATCTGCTCTTTTCATTCAAGCTGAACTTAAACCAGAACCCAAATCTCAACAATCAGAAATTGTACCTGCCTTTTCACACAGTGTTGAGTTAGAAATGTCCTCAGATAAACCTAAAACTTCAGATACTTCCAAGTTAGGTAAAAAATCAAAGAAAGATCGTAGAATACGCCAAAGAGCAGACACTAAGGCTCTTCCAGAAGCTTCTTTAGTTCTCAGTCACGAGGAATTAAGAGGAGAGCATTCTCCTGGACCACCAGGTAAATTTAAAGATAAAATTGATGGTTCAAAAACTGAAAAACCTAGTAAAACTACAAAACTTGAGAAGGATCCTCCTTCGGAGATTGTGAATATTCAAAGCACATTGACAACACCTCGAGAAACAAGAAATGTAGAATTTTCTTCACCCAGCAGTACAGTGGACGTTCATTTCACGATCCATGAAAGGCCAGATAAATTGACTCTTCAGGAAAAGATAACTACAGGTAGTAAATCAAAGGGCTTTGAAATTGACACAAAAGTGATTTCTCCTGATGGTTTCAAAACCGATAGTCAAACCTTTATAGACTATGAAATCACATCAGATTTTATCTCAACTCCGAGTGAAACACCGCAGGACTCGGATCTTGACACACAAAGCAAACCAAAATCAAAACACACTACTAAAAACCGAGATAAAGAGCCTAAAGTTACTGAAACTGAGTTTAAAAAACCTAAAGTCAAGACAGGAAATGTGGAAGACACTAATGTGGACAGCCAACTCAAAAAGGTTGGGGACACCATATGTAATAGGGTTAAACAAGCACAACAACCAGCAAGCACTACACATATCCTGTTTTTAACATCGTTGGAACAGGAAAAACCGACCAGCGAAGAGCAGGCTAACCAACTAGAAGACAGTTTGGAAAAGCTTAAAAAAGCAATCAAGAAACAAGATGTGATCGTGATACAGCAGACAATCATTTTGACAGTCGAGACCATCTCTACTTGGCTGGAGACAATTGAATACAGAATCCAACATATAAAGGTAAGGAGCCTCTTTTTATGTAGATACCTGAAAAGTGTAGAAATATTAGCCAAAATTGTATTTTGGACTCTTAGTGTTGAAGGATTCTTTTGATTCTCAAACAAAGCCTTAAATGCTAGTCTTAAAATCCTATAAATACCCAAACACTATTGTATTACAACTTATTTTTTATATTGATCATATGATTGGTACAATTAACGAGAAAATATTACTTTTAACATTAGATATGTGTTATCATTGACTATTAGATACAAAGTAGACTTCCCGTCTATATGGACCAGCTCTCCCCATTTTTTTATTTAAAAAGACATAGTTGTGTGAGCAAGTCACAGAATGTGCTAGTGCCTAAAAATCGATTTTCTACCTAATTTTTTGAGCAAGTTTATGGTTCATAAAAACATAACAGTTGCTATCGCTCACCACTAGTCATTCCATTAGTGTGACTTAGTAAAAAAGTTTGTGTTTTCAACAGAAATTGGTAATTTAGATCAGTACAATATGTTGGTGGCTCACATCAACTACGACAATATTGATTAAAAATCTGGCGACAACTTAAACATGGGGATGGAAGGTATTATGGAAACTTATTAAGGCAATTAGTAGATACAATCCATCCATGTTTTCCTCGCTTGATTTATACAAATTATCACTAACCTAAACTCAGAATGTATAATTTTGTATTCTCAAGTTTGACCAGGTTTCATCAGATTTAAGTTAAAATTAGTTCTCAATAAACTCATTATGTAACAAAATACAAGTTAAATTAATAAGAAGTAAAATTGAAAAAAAAAACAATCAATCATCTAAAGCATTCAGTTATATGTACAACACTGATGGGTTGGATAATATTTCATTAATAAATAGTATTAGTTCTGAACCCATGGACCAGTCAATAAAATTAAGTAGGTATAGTAGTTAAGTAGGTCCTCGCCACCCTAACTTGAGGCAGCCTAAGGCCGCACTAGATATACGGCGTGCGGCCTTGGGCTGCCTCAAGTTAGGGTGGCGAGTACTATAACAAATGTAGTTAATTAAAATTACTTGTGAAAATGAAAATAATTAATTCTTGGATGTTACTTACTGTATAAATGTGGATTTTTTTAATAGGCAACTAAAAAAGTGTGGTTAACTATGCCAGTTAAATCATATGTGAAGAATCACATATGTCTGGAATTGAACTTATCACTCTTGTGCCAAAGTCCAGGATGCTAGCCACTAAGCAACACAAAGGTGACATGGTTCTTGCATTATTATTGTTACTTACTATTTTCAGTTTATGGGTTTAATGATTTTTTTGTGACCAGCAATCCTCGTCGCACGGCACTGTACCCGAGCAGAGACTCGAGCAGTTGGCGCAACTGCAGGATGAGATTGCTAAAATAGAGTCAGGTGTGGCAACACTGGGTGGTATCATCACTCAAACAGACGGCAGCGGGGAACAGAACATCCGCTACATCATAGACAGTCTTCAGCAACAGGTGGCTACAGTGGAGGAAATCGCAACGACTACACGCAATATTGCCGACAAGGACTTGGCCAGGTTAGTGATTTATGTCCCACCTTCATATCCGCAAGGCTCTTACTCGGAACCGATTCACACATTACTTCAGGCTAGGCCTAGAGGGTCACAGCACTATAACTTAGATAAAATACATTGGTGATTTCTAGGATTTGAACCTGAGCACCTGGGACCTTGGAGACCAAAGTTTTGTCTGAGACTAGCTCGCTCCCTTAGGTTGGTGATAACCTCAAAGACATTATTATTATTATTTGGGTTTAACCTGTCTTGGGTTGTGCCATTGAATTTTTGATATTGAGGTAGTCATCCCTTCTATATGAATCAACAATAAACTATTCTTTATTTAAAAAGGAACATGGCTGAATGAGCCACTCACAAAGTGTGCCACAGTCCTTACAGTAGACTCCCTCTCATCCGGACTCCTTGGGACCGAGGCCAGTCTGGATAGCGGTTTTTCCTGTTAAACCGACGTCCCCAAAAACGCGTTAAAACAGACCGTTTTAATGCATACTGCATACAGTATTTAACTTACATTTAAGAGAGCATTGTATTTAGACACGTTATCACTGGTCTAAAATCTTTCCCACTAGATCAGTCGTTTCAGTACCGCCCACTTCCTGCTGATCTAGTCCGGATAAACAAATTCGCTGATAACAATTGTCCAGTTAAAAGGCGTCTGTATAAGAGGGAGTCTACTGTTTATTTTTTGTTACTGAGATAGTTGATGAGATAAAGATGCTATAGGGTGCAATAGTTCATGTCCTATCAGTTTGAATAGGTTAAAAAGTTGTTGCAACAGGAATTAGTAGCTGGCATCAGCGTACTTTGCTGGAAGCTCAATTAAACTACGTCGGTTTTGATTCTACAAATGGCGACAACTTAAACATTCAGGGATGGTTGTGCCAAGCACACACCTGTTTTTACACCTAAGGGTTTTGCACCATAGGGTTTCTTTCTTCAACTGTTTGTTTTGTTTTAGATGGGAGGAGTTTTTGAATAAAGTCAACAACATCAGTGTGCTTGTTGAGCAGTTACAGACCGAGTTGGATGAACTGGTTCAAGACCAGAACACTCCTGCCATGGTGAGTTGTGAAAACTCTAACTCGTTAGTGGAATCTTGCATATAAATTCCGAATCAGTGTGAGTTTCATATTTTATAAAAGTATGTTTAAGAATAGTGTATTTAAAAACCAAATGCCAAGCTCTTTGAAATCACACAGCCATTTCTGCTACCTGCAGACTAGGGATGGACGAGATTGGATTTTTAGTTCGAGACGAGACGAGACGAGATTTTTCAATCTTTTATTAAAAAACACCAGCATAACATTTTTTTATTAATCACGCCTAACTTATTAAAAATGCCTATGATTAGAAAACATAGTGATATCAGTTAGGATACTTAGAGTTCAACTTATCCTAAAATAAAATAAATCATAAAATAAAAGCAATATTAATTTTTATAAAATAGTTACTTGTTTTGACTTTTTATAGTAATAAAACATTACTCACACTGCTTACACTTAACAAAACTTCTCAAATGTTATTAAAGTAATATTATTAAAATAATTAAAGTAATATTTACATTTAAAGAATTAATTAAATAAGAACGCCTTCGCAAAGGAAACGCAACTACAACACGCTCCTGTATTGCGGGTATTGCATTGACTTTCTGCAGGCGTTTTTAATTTTTTTTTTCTTGTCTCGATAAAAATCTCGGCCAAAAAGAAATCTCGTCTTGTGTAACGAGATTTAAAATTTCCCGAAATTTCGAGACTTGACCATCCCTACTGCAGACGTATATGTGCAAAGTCTTTTCATGTGATCAATCTGTTTATTGTAGGTGAAGCTAAAAAACCTAGAGACACTGGAGGCCACTAATCAGAGCCACAAAGCCAAGTGTGCAGAGTTGATGTCTACGGCTCACGTCCTGCTGAGAGACTATCCTGGCAGAGTGATACCTCTGGAAACTTACACCACACAGGACAATACACAGGTGAGCCCACACAGAGTATAGCCATAGTCCTCGCCACCCTAACTTGAGGCAGCCCAAGGCTGCACGCCGTATATCTAGTGCAGCCTTGAGCTGCCTCAAGTTAGGGTGGCGAGGACTATAGCTGCTGTTGTTTCAGGAGAAATATAATAAAGAGGAGTTTTTGTTCAGGAGAAACACCTTATGGAGACGTAGTTGTTATCCAGGAGAAATACTTTGATTAAGTAGAAGGAATTGATAAACAGCTAATTTAACGTTGAAAAGCGTATGCTGTTGATGGGGCAAAAAAGTTACAACTTAATTAACTTGATGTCTTCAATAGGTCTTCTTCAGAAATAGTAAAAAAAATGGTTTTTCTATTCAAAGGAAGGATCAAATTAATTCTGTTGTAGACTCTTGTGTTCTTGAACTGCCTGGTATCTTTTCTTGAGTAAGTTAATTGTGTATTTGTATTCATAAGTCAAGTTGTCTTTCTTTTAGGAACTGTTCACACCATGAAAAATTCTCACCTGGAATAGTTTGTCTCAAATGTTTCTCCTGTTTGGTTTTCTACACTTTTGGTACGGATTCAAAATATAATTTCATGTTTACAGGCCATACAGCACAACATCAATGCAGAAAGAGAAAAACTGCTACAGCTGGTATCCCTGGCTGAGGAATACGAGCAGACGTTGAAGGACTTTGCCCAGATCACGGACGTTGCTGAAGCGTTGGTCGATGGACCGATAGTAGTGTCGGATCTACAACATCTACAGGTAGGTTACTCCTTCTGGTTATCAGTGTATTATTCTCTTTACCTTAAACGTCTTTTGATATTTCAACGTTCATAATGTAATAGTGGCTATACCTGTGCAAATATATTTGTAAGATTTAAAACTAAAAACGTGGGGCACATGCAATAGATAATTATAAGCAGGGGGTTGCTGTTGATAGGAAAAAACAAATTCACATAGTACATCCTGTTTGTATGATTTACATCTATATTCCTTATTGAGGTTAAAAAAAGCTAATAATTCGGTAGGTGCAGAAAATCGTTAATTAGCTATTGCATGTGCCCCACGGATTTCGTTTTAAATCTTACAAGTATTTATTCTCTCTACATATTTATAAATTATTTTCTACTTTTTAGTAGGCTACGGTATGTTTAAAAATGTGGTATTTAAAAAAAGTTTTTTTATTTATAAATTATTTTATGTATAGAGAAAATTAACCAATATCTTCAATACTAACCAAATAATACAATACCAACCTTTAGAGACTTATTACATGAGGTAGCCAGTGATAGTAGCTGGCAACGCACTGGCTATCAATATCAAACCTAGTAGCCTAGCCAGTGGCGACCGTTGTGGTGACGGGGCTCGGTTGCCAGTCGGTTGCCAAGGTGTGGCTACGTCGCTGGCTACCTTCGTGTAATAACATCCATAAGAATCAATGACCCATGACATACTGTGTAGCCAGTTCCGTAGCTGGTGACGTCGCCAGGCTACCTCGTGTAACAAGGGCCTTAAATACAACCTTTGATTCACAAAATTTTGTATTACGATTTACATTGAAATAATGTTGACAGGAGGAGATGCAAAAGCATCGTAAGTTCTTTGTGAACCTGAGTCATTGCCGAGGTATCCTTGAGTCTCTGGAGGGTCATTTGGACAGTGAGACAAGGACCAAACACTCAGCTCTGCATGATGAACTGCATCGCCGTGCCTCCATGATCTTAGACAAGGTAGGTGAATAGTGTATATATATAGAAAGGAAAATAAAAATATGTCTAATAACACTTGACAACAGTTCATACACCATAACGATTGTTTTTATTTTAAAATACATACTGCAATTGAATAAGCCACCCAAAGGATGTTTTACAATCTAAAATTATATTTTCTCCCTCATAAATAATGTTGATAGTTGATAATGTATAGAATATGCTTCAGTTTACAATCGACAGCCATAAACTAAAGTTTACAGCCATGACAGCGACAATTTTATGAACTCTCTCTTTTTCTACACTTGACTACGGTTAGTCTCCCAGGGGATGAAATATTGTTTTGTATGTTTTACTGTGTGTTCTATGGCCTACCTGTACTTCGTCTGCTAGCTGCTGATCCAACAGAAATTAGCAACTTACATCAGCACATTTTGACGATGGCTCAATTCTAGGTCCAATTTGAAAAAAAAAATGGTGACAACTTTAACATGGTGATGGAATGTCTAATCGTATACTGTTTGTCGCAGGCCGCAGGTAGAGCCCAGCAGATGGCGTTGGCAGCTTCACGCTGGACTGTACTGGAGCAAGGGATGAAGGAGGAAAGGGGGTGGCTCCAAGTGGCCAATCAGAGAGTACCTGACCTGTCTAGCGTTTCCACCACTGACTACAATCAGTACATCTCTCTGTACCAGGTCAGCAAAACTGTCTGAACAGTGATATAAACAGTGATTGTCAATATTTTTAAACAAAAACACCTGGGGATTGTCCTTCGGAACATACACAGCAAGATTCCCAAAATCAATAAAAACTTGAATCATTGGTTGAGTGCATAAAATAGCTTAGTAACTCTAACTGTCATAAACAATAAAAAATACATAGCAACTCAAATTTAATATACACTAAGAAATTCACCTCATATGAAAAACATTTAAGTTACTGTTACTATACATTTTTTGATAAGCGATTTTGTGACTTCTTTGATTGCATTTTTCAGTTCCTCTTTACTTTATACTATCAGGCAGTTTATTTTACATTATTTTGAACACCTGAAAACATGTGTCAATTTTATGATCTAGATATCCATCGAAACAGTAAATAAATAATATACAATACAATACAACTAATACAACACTTTCAAGTTGTATGAAAGGACTAATCTCTGAGGAATTATAGAAGCATTTTCCAACCAATGATTAAAGCCATCCCAGCACCTCCAAATTTCTGCAGACTCGCTTCTACAACGTGTTCACTCACACCAATTCCTAAGTGTGCTTGCTATACAGAGTTTATAGTTGTGCATCACTGTTTCAGGCGTTGTCAAGTGATATCGCACTACACTCGGCCAGAGCAGGTCAGCTGGTGTGTGTGGCTCATGGGCTGCAAGGCTTAGTGCAGAGTGAGAGTTGTGCTTCCTATGACGAACATCACGCTGCTATACTGGCACTCCAGACTGATGTAAGAAATGATACATGACTTTGCAGTAGAAAAGTTTGTGAAAGATTGTCTGAATTAGAACTGCATGTGGGAGGGTTGAGCAGAAGGCTCTTAACAACACTGAGAGTCACACCAGGTGCTAGTGGTGTTAAATTAATCTAACTTTTTTTGTTAAATGGCAGTTAACTTTTGAGTTGGTTGTACACAAAAAAAAGCTAAGGTGGGGGAAAGGGTTTTTATGCGTATGCGTATCTTGCTCACCACTCCAATCTTGTGCAAACTAAATTCTTATTTGCCTGTGTCTACATTTTGTCTGTCAGATTATCTAATTGACAATGAAGGTTGATCAAATGTTATGTTTCCAGGTAAACACCGAGCTTGGTAGATTGCTGGCCTTCAGAGATAGCTGGACGGCCTATGAACTGCTGTCTGATAAACTAGATGCCTGGGTGAGAAGTGTCCCTGCAGATACCTCACCTAACAACATGAGGCAGTTCTGGGTACGTTGTTTTATTTCATTCAACAGTACGCAAATAACTATGATTTTCTTTTTGTAACCATACATGTAAGATTAGAATCCAATAAAAAATCTATTCAATTGTAAGACTAATCATCCACTAGAAGAATTGTTTAAAGTATTTTCATGAACAATACTCTAGCAAAATTACTACCGAGAGTAGCACACTTTATAAAGGTTTTATTGAGCAACTACATACATACTCTGTTTTCCTTAGTGGTTACACTATTATTACAGTGTTTTTTTTCAGGTATTAAAATCAAATTTTAGTGGTAAAAAAATTTACCAAGATTAATAAATTAGAATTGAAAATCAGAGAGTATAGGGAACGAAAAGACTATTTAAAAGTTTTCCAGTGAGGATGAGATCACTCCTCCAATCAGTGGGCTTTATTCAGACAATTCCATCGCTACCGTCATACACTGGACGTTGTAAAACATACATTTACTATTTATGTTTTGGTTTCCAGTACACAGCACAAAATGATATGATGGTGTACTCTAGCACAACTATGACAACCTAATGCATACACATTTATTTGTCCTTAAATTTATTGAAGATTAGTATAATCATCTCTGATAATTTATAAAGTTGAAGTATTTCAAACTACCTTGGTAAAAACTATTGGTGTGATTTGTACGTTCAGAAAGAGTGCCCAAATTGATCAGGTGCCAACAATGAAACATCTAACTAATGTTTGTACTCCAAAGTTGACTGTTGTTTGTTTGTAGGAATTGAAGGCTCAGTTTGAGCTTCACAAGCACTTGAAGGACGAGGCTGCCACACACCTAGACACAGCTCTGCGGGTGATCCCAGCGGCTGATGAGACACTACAACGGCAACTATACACTGTGTTACTGGACAGGTTGGTCATCACATTCAACTCTTCTCATTGCATTGTGTTATGTCCGATCTCACATCCTAGGATGATAGGCTGTAACCCCCATAACCCGTAAGGCTCATAACCGTTTTCACATTACTTCAGGCAAGGCCTAGAAAGTTGGGGCATTATCACTTGAATAAATCAATTTTTGGTCAGATTTGAATCGTTAAAGACCTTAATTTATAAACAACCCTTGTGTAATGATTCGACAGGGTAAAATTGACTTTTACCACCTTCATTCGGACTTTCTAATACTACATGAGATCTTCTAAATTAACTATCTCAATTAGTTATCGAGTACCAATTATCATTTATTACTCCTTTCAAACTCCAGTTGGTGCCTGAAATATGGCATTTGCAGATTTATGCTTCAATTATGATTTTGTTGTCTATTACTAGTCAGAAAATGCCTTGTTTTAGAAGTTAACCTTTTTACACTTTAAACTTTGAAATCACAAAATTGACTAACTAATCCATCTAGATTCTAGAGTACCAAATCGGCTCAAGTTACGTTGTGTGGCTGCTCTAGTGTTGAATAGACTTAACATGACCGTAGGGTGATTGGTATTGCTATCAATGTATTGTTAAGACAATACAGATACAGCTATAGTAGAATTTAATGATGATCCTTTCACGTTAAAATGGTGTGCTTTATTGTATCCATGGCTCCTGTAATGCTTACAAGTGACTGATGTTGCAGATGGAAAGCCCTAGAAGGCAGGCTGGACAGTATGCAGTCTGTGGCCTTGGAGAATGTGAGCTCCAGCAGTGGTTCAGTTGAGGACAAGCTAGGAAGGCTGGAGAGAGAGCTAACTGAGCTGGCCACTCTACTGGCTGACATGCACGGCGTCATCAAGACTGAGGAGGAGTTGCAGTTGTACATCGAGAGGCTCCAGGTAGAGTGGCGAGTAGGACACGCATGCACAAGGGTTGCCACATGACCAGATTCTGTTGGGACAGTCTCAATTCTAACCCCTTTACTGTGTTTATCCTGTGGGGAGGAGGAGGTCCTGATTTTCCCCTAACCAAAGGTGGCAACCCTGGCATGCACATTAGCAGTCTTAAAGCATGCACATTAGAACCCTTCTCCTACCACAATCGCTTTATTTATTTTACCTCAGAAATTACTGTTGGATCTAATTTGTTATAAGTTTTCAGAGTAGGAGAAGAGTGGTGGGAAGTTCTCTGTTCCTCATACTTTTCACTACCCTCTGTACACACTATCTAATTGACCCAATCTATATCTAAACATTTTTTAAAGTAATTTTTTAAACCTCACCTTTCGTTTTAATCAACAACGTTCATTGAAATTTGAAATTATACACAATTTTTTTCACTGGGCTTATCGATTCACAACTGTCCACAGGTGATGAGAGGCAGTGTTGATCACATCATGGAGCAACTGTCTCGTCTAGGACTACTGTCTACTGCACAAAGCGACCGTGTCAGTTGTCTGCTGAACGGAGCCCGCACCACGGAGATGTCCTTGCGCGAGGAGCTGGAGGGCGCGACACTGCTGCGTGACAAGCTGGCGACTCTGAGACGAGGAGTGGTGCGCGTGCGACGCGACCAACAACGGGCTGCCTCGGTGCTGGACCAATGTGAGGCTAGTCTGTGTGAAAACCAAGACACAGTGCAACAGGCCCTCGTCAACTGCCAGGTGAGTTATGATTGATTATGTTTAACTAAGGTGTAATCTAATAACTCACTTTTATAGAAGTAGATAACCCATTGATATGGACGAGCTGTAGTCAATTTTCATAACAATATAGTTGATTGAGCCTCTCACAGAGAGCGTTCCTGTTGAAAATGTGTTAGCTTCCCAAGGACTTGATAGTTTAATTGACCTTAAAGATGTTATAGTTTACAATATTTTGTACTGAGAGTTTGACTTGGTTGAAAAATTGGTATATTCAACTGAAATCAGTGCATTCAATCGGATTTTGTGTTTAAAATGCATTAGCCTACCTATAAAACACCTTTAATATTGAGTGACAACTCTTCTGAAATTAAAGACACAATTGGTTCTTCTGGTCTCGCAACAACCTCATGATCTAGAAATTTTTTTTTTTATTCCTCCCAGATGGACTCTGTCTGTGATTTAATTTCTGAAACTACTTATTTACTAATTTTTTTTAAATACCATACTACACTAATTTCTTTTTGTGACACCGTACTTATTAACGTTACTTGTATTCCCTTAATGTACACTGTTTTCAAATAGTTTCAATAGTCAATACGGTACAAACATCTTGCTATCCAAAGTGCAGCCTTCAACTTATCTAGGCTTGTGTAGCAATGAGTCAGTAAGTGACATGATGAATGTCTATCTCAGGGAGTGGAGGAGACCCTGACTCTACAGTGGACAGAGCTGATGGCGTTGCGTCAGCTACTACACACATTGCCATCACGTCTGCGCCTGTCTATGAGTCCAGTGCGGGTAGAGAGGGAACTGGCGCAACTACAGGACGACCACAGCGAGCTGACGGCTCGATGCAAGAATCTGTATGGCAGCCTGGCGCAGAGGCTAGCACTGTGGCGCAGGTAAATACATCTTTTCTTTGCGTTTTTCTACCTCAATCACACTTTTTACGTTTTTGTAAGGGTTTTAAACCCTGATATTGTTAGTGTCGACACCATATTAGCATTTTACATTGTTTGCCTAGTAGAAAATAGGTCAAATAAGCTTGGTCAAATAAGCTTGGTTGAATCAGTATTGTTCAGATTTTATGGCAAGTTCTATTACAATCTCTTTGGACTGAACGTCTTTACTGACAATGAGCAACATTTACAACAATGATAGAACATATTTCTTGGAAATTTACTTGATTTAATCAGGAAAATAAATTGCTTGGTGAAAAAAAACCTATAAATCCGTTTTACTTTCCAAACAAACCCTATTTTCTAAAAGCACTGGTACCATAGTGTTATATTGTTGTAATTAACGGTAAATTGTACATGAATATGTTTTAGCCATTGATTGGTTCAAGGAAAATTCACCAATCTATGTTCACAAATTCGGATTTCCAAAATGTTTGGACTTTGAAGTGTTGATTATAGGTTTGCTGTGTAGCCAAGCAGACAGTATCTTGTTATGTTTGATTCATAACAAGGTTCTAACTGTACAATTAACTGTGTGTGACCTATTCTTCAACTGCATGAATTAAAACATTGTGATGGATTAGTGTTAGTTGAGGAATTTGTATGTTTTCTAACAGGTTGTGACTTGTTGCAGGTTCTACAGTCAGCTGGAGCTCGTACAACAGTCAGTGAGAGAGACCGACTACATGATGGAGATTCTGGCTGTGCAAGGCAAGGTGGACTACGAGCGACTGGTCAAAGCTACTGAGAGACTAGAGGTTAGTGTAACACAAGACATTACTTCTAATTGATTGAAACTAAAGCTCAAGTGTGTTAATCTATATCATACAGAGGTGCCTGTCTTTGTCTCTGTTTATCTGATTGTTCCAAGTCAGAAGACAATTTTTTTTAATCGGTAAAAACTGCTGAACCAACTGGACTGATATTCTACACGAAATGTTGAAACTGTCCAACTCAGTGTCTGATAAAGCTGGATAGCTGAGTGGATTACTCGCTAAAGAAAGAAAAGGTTTGCCAGTTCAATCCTAAGAACATGTTTTGAAACTGGGCCCAGCTGATTTTGATCGTTGACTATTGATAGGACTAGACGTTTAATTGTTTTTAAGAGTCTTCTTCACCCCTGCGAAAACTGCTAAAAACATGCCTTAGAAGTCCCTTGCACCTGATGGAATTTGTTAAGATCTAATTTTAAATTGTTTTCCCCTACAGATAAATGTTGGTTCTAGAGCTGTCATACCTGATATAGGTATCCAAGAAAATCAGTTGTTTAAATTACAAAAAATCTTAAAAGTAATGTAAATTGAGTTACTTCTAAACATTGATAAAACTATAATTTTTCTCATTTTCAATTTGTTGATGTATAAAAGCTCTAATATTCAACTTCATCGCTACCAAGTTTCAAAAAAATCTGTTGAAAACCTGCGTCTGGACCGAGGGACAAAATTTACATGTTTTGTCCCAAAAGCGGAGAGGCTACTGCGCTACTAGCCTTTTACAAAACTTGGCTCAGGCGGCAGATAAGTCACTGACCCGTCGCTGTCTACACACGTGTGTTTACAATGTTTTCATAACGGCGCGCATACTAACCCCGTGCTACCCGCCCATCCACACCACCTTCCCCCACAAGGCTATACGCCTAAAACCCAACTACACCGAGCGTGATGAAGACTCTAAAGTCAAAATGGACGTAGTTGAAGTGAGCCACCGACAGATTGCTCCGACGAAATTACTAATATCTATTATATCTGTCAAATATTCTGACTGTTTAACCAAGTCAAGCTGAAGAGACTACTTATTGTAAGCTGTAGCATCTTTTATTTCATGTCAACCATATCAGTACCGGTAATAAAAAAATGCAGTAGAAAATAGAATTTTAGACACTAGCACAATCTGTGACTGGCTCACAGAATTACATTCTTTTTTTAATACAAAATTTACATCAGCTAGTCTATAGATGGGATTTCTACAGTATCTAAAAGGTAAAATACACCAACTTGATCATTGTGCTTCTCTGCAAACTATATAAAAGAACTATAAGGCTGATGTTATTCAGTATCATGCTGTCATTTCATTTATTCAACATTCATTGTTCTGTCATCCTCACCTTTATGCACCTTGGTATGTTGGCATTGCATAAATCCAATGTTAACTTATCTATCTAGTTCTTATAATACCCTCTGGCTATTCTGGCTTCGTTTTGTGCATGTCTTAAGTTTTGATGTGCCGATTGCTGGGAGTAACTATTATCCGTGGCAATACAAAGAAAAATAGTTAACTATGGTCAGTGTATCTTAAAAATACTCCCTCCATATACTAAAGAGAAAATTTGTTAATAAGTACAAGGATGAATTTAATTGAAACTTGAAACTAGTGTTGAGATATGTTTAACAACGTGCCTTGAAATTCTATTTTTTCCTATTAGAATAATTGTTCATAATTATTTTCTGTCCTGACTGCCAAAGATCGTTTTATCACAAGTGACATAATAGCTATTACCAGATGACAGAGCTGAATAACTGCCAGACATTGATTTAGAGATCAAATTATCTTACAATGCTAATTATATTACAATTTGCATACAATTGAACACACCTTAGAAGTGTCTTTGGGTAGTGTCAAAACTATATGAAATATTAAATCAAATTTGTTATGATTTTAACTTTTAGAAACTTTCTTTAAGTATCATAGTTCAAGCAAATAAGTCAAAATTAAGAAAAATAGAGGAACAAATCTATGTATTCCCATTTTTTTCAAAAATGTGTCGGGGAGGGTCCCCTAATGAATATATGATAGGTGAGAATAAAATCACCCTGCCGCTCTCTGGTGGTAGGAGGTGTAAATGCCCCAATTTGCGCCAGTGTAACTTTTACCTACATCTTATCTATTTACATATTTGTATATATTATTGAAGTAAATTTAATTCTCTACAACCTTCTTTCGGTCAATATTTCTGGAAATTAACAAGGAAGGAGAAAAATAAGATTTTAACAAAAAATGTGAGGTGAAAATTCTTTTCGAACATTTTTTTTTTTTTTTTTTGAGCGCGGATATCTCAGAAACTATGCGTCTTTCACTAATAATGTATATGATCAAAGTTGTAGCAAATTTAATAAGCTTTAACTTTTACACTGAACAATTTAAGCTACGACACGCCGTTTTCAAGTTATAAGCAAAAAAACCGCAAATTGGGGCATTTACACCTCCCACCACCAGAGAGCGGCAGGGTGATTTTATTCTCACCTATCATATATTCATTAGGGGACCCTCCCCGACACATTTTTGAAAAAATTGGGAATACATAGATTTGTTCCTATTTTTTCTAATTTGCTTGGGCTATCACTAATAATCTCTAATACGGTATTTATATCTATTAAGTATTTGGGATAGGATAAAAACACGATGAAGTTAAAAAAGTACCATAATGTACTAGGTGAGTCAGTGAAACGGAACGGTTCCGAATCAAGCTGACGGTGTGTGGGGGGTTACGAGAGTACAGGGGAAATGACCTTAAGCATCTAGACAAGTGTAAATTTCATTAGCCATGGAGCGTTGGACGAGTGCACAATGTGCATTTGGTGTAAAGGTATATTACAAAAACCCGGATAGTGTGGTTTGTGCTCAGCGCGCTTTCTGTTTTGGATTTAAACTACAGGATCCCGTGCCATAAAGGAAATAATGGGTGAATAACTTTGAAGCCACTGCTAGCATGACAAAATACTACAAAACAATTGCAGGATTTCATTTCAGACTTCAAAAATGTTTTCACAACCAAGGATGCCATTTTACTGACACTATATTTAAAGAATTATTATTTTAACGTAAAAATTAATTTTCACTCACGTACTTAAGATGATGGATGATTCAACAACCCCAAAACGTTATTTAAGAAATTAAGAGATTTTTGCAGATTGTGATATGACTGTCTCTTATTCTTGTTCTTTTGTTTTATTCACGCCATCAAAAGTTTTGCAGAATACCTTCCTCTGGACTTGAAAATCGTGTTAGTAAAAACTCTCATTTTAACTACTGTAATGTGGTGATCAATGTCATGACAAATGAAGTTTCTAGCAGGCTTCAGGGAGTGCAGAATTCATGTATCAGATTCATATTTGGCCTTAGACGTTATGACCATGTTACTCCATATTTCAACCTGCTTTCATTAATGAAGTTAAATGATCTTCTTGAATTTCACACTGTCTGTCTTCTACACTCCATTATCAATTGTAAAACTGCTAGGTATTAAACTGACAACTTCCATTTTATTTCTGACATCAGCACCTGTGCCACTAGTACAGGCTCTCTCCTTTTGTTTATACCAATTTACCGGTCAACAGTTTTTAATAAACCTTTCTTAGTATCTGCAATTTGAATGTGGAATTCTTTTCCTGACCATATAAAATCTATATCTGTGCTAGGTTTGGGGCAGAGCGTAAACCTAATTATTACCTAAATAAATTGGTTATTCAAAAATAGGATTTTTCCGTTATTTTATGAGTTTTACGGGAAAACAACATAAGTTACAATAACTTTTGAACCATAATTTTACAGCAATGAGGGATGTACCTTTTACTTAGAGTTAAAAGGACTATAAAATACAAAATTTAAATCAAAACCGTTTCAGATGTTTTTGTGCAAATTTGATTTTTTCTATAATTTTAAGGGTACTTATGGTAAATCACAAAAAAATTTAAAAAACGGAAATTTGTCTGGAGACCATGTGTTAGTACCGACCCACACGTACCAAATTTTATCAAAATCGGACCTTAGGTGTGGTCTGTAGCTCTTTACAAATTAACACATACAGGCAAATGAATACACATACACAGACATCACATCAAAAACCACATTTTTGGGCTCAGGGGACCCAAAAGGAATATGTCCACCCGAAATTCTAACAACTCGAAAATTTTTACTACAGTATAATAATAGTCAATACTTATCATCAACATTTTCCGTATACTAGGCTATGTAAATAGGGGGGAAAGTAAAAACAAAATATAAAATAAAATGATTAAAAATGTAATTAAAATTATTTAAATTTACTATCTTTAGAACTATATGACACTGAGACATTTTGAATGTTTAATAATGCTACAATTAATACTTTGCTAAACTTTTTTTGAATCAGTTTGACTCAGTTATCAGTTATTTGAGTTTTCAATATTTTACAGTTAATTTTCTCAACAACATAACATGTTGTTAAACACTTCCAAGTCAAATTAGTACTCAGAAATAGTTTGGTTCAATTTCGAAGAATAATATCAATTTTTTGAGATTTCATATTTATACAAAACATTTAACAATTAGATCCACACCAAAATGTGTCAACAGGTCAAGCAGGGAAAAATATTTGATATGATTTATTGTTTATTTGTCATCACAGAATAGAGAGTAGTTTAGAGAGTAGTATATTCTTTAATCCAAGGCGTTATTAAAAAAAACCAAATGCCAAAGACAGTGCAAACAATTTCTGTCAATACAGGTTGTATTTCATAATCGCTGCAACTGAATGGTAGTATACCTTAGCGTGTTATATGATTGATCGTACGGTAGCTGAGATGTGAGGACTCTAAAAAATTATACCGAGTTACCCAGTTAAGATGAGACTATCGCTATTTTTACCTCCGCAATATCAACAACCAAGACTGTACCGTTCGCCCACGGCTCGCGTCAAGGATGATGTCAGCAACCACGATGATCGCGATCAAAACAAACAACGCTGAGAGACTGTGGTACAGTTTAATCCGCGAATACCTTC